CTTCCTGGGGCTAGAGAGGGAGAGAGCTCAGCAATTAGGAGCACTTAACTGTACCCAGGTTCAGTTTCCAGCATCCACAAAGAGGTTTGTGGCTACCTATAACTCCAGGTCCAGAGAATCTGGTGCCACTGCATACAAATGGTGCATATATACACACTCGGGTAAAATAAACACATACACATAACATAAATTAAATCTATTTGTTTTTAACCTCTACATATGTACTTTTACCTTCCTCTATCAAGCATCAAGAATTCAGCACTAAAAGTGTGAGTCATCCTTCACATGACAAATGTATCTGCGGAAAGTAACATAAATATTACCTGAACTTAGTTGTGCCACAGAAATAAGCCTGAGAAGGGAACCGCTTCGTGCCTGAAGAGCCCTGTGGTGGCTCCTGCTGTAGGGGCAGAATTGGGGTCACAGGCTGGTAGTAACCCCAATGCTGGCAATAATGTGGGTGTGGGGACCACAAGGGACAATAGGGTCAAAGCATCTATCAGAAAGTTGACTTGCAGGAACCTGAGGTGTTGGCTAGCCAGCCAGGATGCTCTTTTTTGAAAAAAAAAAAAGATTTATTTTTATCTTTATTGATGTATACCTGTGTATGTTTGTGTGAATGTCTGCTACGTGTGTGTGTGGCTGCTGGCAGGAGTCAGAGACGGATCTCACGGAGCTGACGATGTAGGCAGTGTTTGGACTGCCCAGTGTAGGTGCAGTGACTCAGGTCCTCTGAAAGAGCAATACTAACTCTTACCCACTAAGTCATATCTCCACCCTCTCCCCTATGATGCTCTTACAAATGAATTAGGAGGGATGTCTACCAAATTTTACTGGATCTGTATAACCAGAAAAGTCTTAGGGCAACTGAATAAAAATCTAACTACAATCATAAAAAAGATCATCAAAGCCCTTCAATCAATTCATAGGACTACAATAATTTGTGGAGGAAGGGAAGTCTGGATCTCCCAGAGGAAGAACCCCAATATAGTACCAAGAATTTGTTCTATGTACTTCTTTTTTCCAGTTTCCAATGAAGCCTACAGGGTTTGGCTTTTTACTAGGAAAACTATGCATATCAGACATATCAGCTCTGAAATGAAATACTACCTTTGGGGGGGGGGCTTATGAAGGTCAGGTGACTTGGCCATTTATCCAGGTTCTGCTCACAGTGGGTCAGGGCTTTCCCAGGACCAACATGAGGTGATTTTCTGCGTTACAGAGGCATAGTGAAATAAACACACCCTAGAACAGACAGAAAGCTTACCTTGCTTCACTACCTTCGAGGTGAGTATATAGTAGGAGCCACTAGAACTGCCTTACCCATCAAATTGTGCCCCCCCAAACAAGACCCAATTCCTGGAAAGATTACAGAAGCCAGTGCCCCCATAAAGGATGTGAAAGTTTCACGTTCGTGATTCCTACCACATCCAGATCCAATTTATCTATTTAGTGTTCAGAGTCCAGTGTTAGAAAACGGCAACCTGTTGTCCTCAACTCAACCAAGCAGTGGCCCTGACTACATCTGCTATAACCAACGAGCAGCTATCATATGTTGAGTTACCTCATGTCCAGATCAGTACACTGCCACTGTCTCCATCACCCTTCGTAACGATGTAACAGGCAGTTTAATTTCAGCTAAGAAGACCATCAATACACCTCAGCATCCTACCAAGGAGCAAATCAGCTCTCCAGCCCCGTAATACATTTAATTAGCCTGAATTTTGACTGCCTTTCCTTTCCACAAGCTGTCAGCCTGGGTCATTGTGTGGTGACATTTTGTTTATGATCTAACAAATAAAGCTTGCCTGAATATCAGAGGAGCAGAGTGGCCAGCCACAAGAGAGTTCTTACCTCTGTCAGTGCCCAGACCAAAGGGGCGATCTGGCCCTCAGACTGCCATGAACTCCTGTCTCCTCCCTCCTTATATTCCTTTCTCTCCATCCAGACATATCCTTTCCTGTCTCCACCTTCTTAGTGCTGGTATTAGAGGCTTGTCACTGCAAGTACTGGGATCACTTTTGTGTGAGCTCTGTTTGTCCTTTAGACTGGATCAGTTTTGTGTAGCTGAGGGTGTCCTTGAACTCACAGAGATCTGTCTGCCTCTGTCTTCCAAGTGTTGGAATTAAAGGTGTGTGCCACCACTGCCTGGCCTCTAGGGCTGACTAGAGTGGCTAGCTTTGCACTCTGATCTTCAGGCAAGCTGTATTTGTTAGATCATAAACAAAGTATCACCACGCCATTATGTTAGTGACACTATGCTGAGAGGATTTTGTGAGCAAAGCATGGCAAAACCTCAGGATATTTGCAGTCAGAGGGCAAGTAGGTGACAAAAATTCATAACCTTCCTGTCCAGAGAAGTCTTCAGGCAAAGAGTTATTTTGAGGCAGGTAAAGACATTCCATTTAAGGTAACATATACGTTATTGCATCTGACCCCTCCTAAAACTAAAATTAGATGTGTGCTATTTTGTGGGCCTCTTGGGATGTTAGGCCACACAATCCTCATGTAGACGTGTCGCTCTAGCCTAGCCCACTCACCCAATGATCTCCGAAGAACCGGGTTTGAGTGGGGCCCAGAACAAGAGGGAGCTGTATGACAGATGTGGACACTGCATATACCACTCTGCCATGGGGATCTAGTCCCAGCAGATCCAAGGCTCATGAATGAACCACAGTGGGCGACTCACAACGGAGGCCCCTTAAGGTTTAGGTGCAAGAGTTAAGAAGATAGTTCAGGCAGGAAACCCTTGTCACACAAGCATAAAGTTCCAGAACCCCTGCAAAGCTGTAATCCTTGTACTGGGAAGGCAGAGACGGGGGGTGGGGGGGTGGGGGGGGAATCCCTAGGGTTGGATGGCCAGTAAATCTTGTCTACTTGGAAAGTTCCAAGCCATGCAAAGGTCCTGTTAAAACCAGCCAAAATACCAGATGGATGACCTGAGGAATAATATCCAAGGTGGTCCTCTGGCTTCCACATGCATGTGTATGTGTATGTGCAAACATAGTTGCATGCCAGAGAGGAGGGAGAGGACAGGAAAGAGCAGGGGAGGGGAGGGGAGGGCAGGGGAGGGAGGGGAGGGAAAGGGAGAGGAGACGAAAAGGAGGAGAGGAGAGAAGAAGAGAGAAGAAAAGAGAGAGACAGATGGATCGACAGAGATTTAGGATACCATCCCTTTAAAAAAAAAAAAAATGGCTCATGGTATCTGACTAGGCCATAATAGAATAGAATGATTTAAGTCTGGGTCGTTATCTTAGCAAATTCTTAACACTCATTTCTGAGTGTGGCTTGAACACCCAATAGGCCATGAACAGAGATTATACAGCGCATGGCTTTTACACTGAACTAGTGAGGTGTGGGTGAGCTTGGGCAGACCCTGCAGATACAAGCTAAAAAAAAAAAAAAAAAAAAAGTAGCTCAAACTCGCATAATGCTATTCCCACCATCCTGCCCCCTTTCTCCACAGCAGGAGCCCATGGCATGGTGGGAATTTTCAATGAGTCTGGTCTGGTTAAGATGCTTCTGCACGGTATGCGGCAACGCCCCAGAGTGGCAGCCACAGCACTACAGCCTTTTGCAATGTCACTCCCATGGGCAGAACTTTGGGTGCCTGGTTGATAATTTTGATAACTTGGAATATGAATTGAAAGTCATCTGTTTATAAAAGACTTTCATTCTAAGCAAAGTATGAAAATTATGTTGGTTTACTATTGCTTCATTCTCATTAGGCTAATAGACCAATTCTTTCTTTGTAATATTTCTCCCTTTACAAATCTCCAAGTGGAAAGAGAAACACCAATATTCACTCGTGCTTGGCTTCCTGGATGCCATGTTTGATTTTATCTCAGAAACGCGGATGCCCTGCATTGTGGCCCTACCTCAACAATGGATAGATAGGCTTACCAACATATCTAATCAACTATACTGGAGTGAGGGCTGGAGAGGTGGCTCCATACTGCTGCTCTTCCAGAGGACTTGAGTTCAATTCCCGGCACCTACATGGCCCCTCACAATTGTCTGTAACTATGGTTCCAACAGATCCAGTGTTCTTTCTGGCCTCTGAGGGCAACAGGTGTACGTGTTTTTAGAGGGGGGGAGGCTGTCGTCACTCTCCCACTTGGGATTGAAGAGAATGAGTAATTGCTCTTCTACGGTTTACAAAGGGTCTTCTCAGCAGCAGCCACAGAATCCTGAGCCACTTCTGGTCCTCAAATAACTCATCAACTCTCTTCCTGAGCTCCTGAAAATAGCAATTCCAAAGGGCCCGGGCAGCTGCTGCGTCTGCTGCTCTTTCTGGGTTACCCCAAAGCCGATGGCTTTGGGTTTCTCTTGTAAAAACCACTCTTTGTGTGTGTGTGATGGCTGAACCCCCAGAGTGACATATGCAAGAAGTAGCAGCCACACATTTTCATCCCAAGGAAGAGAAAAGCATACATACTTAGAAATGGCAGGTAGGACAGGGTCGGAAACACCAGGTTGGACTATGCCATTTGCCCCGACGCGGTTGCTAGATAAATATGAAGCTGAAGTATTAATTATACATTGTAATTTTTTAAACATTTGATAGCTGTGTGAGCCCTGGTTTATAAAGCCTAAAATACCCTTATCCCAGGCCTTGCCTGCCTTCAATTTAATGTCACACCCTTCTAGCACTACCACTGTGGACGTCACCCAACACACACAAGTCCCCAGGGCCTGCCGTTCCAGAACATTGGTCTGTGGTTGTGTTTTCTCACTCACCGCAGTGTATTTAATGGCCTTTCATTGTATCTGTGTCTTCCAAAGACTGAGAGCTATGTGACTCTCATCTTCTTCCCATGGTCCCTATGATAAAGCCTAACATAAAGCAGGTTCAAGAATATTGACTAGGACAGACTCATCTTGCTTCCCAGAAGCCAGTGGCTCTCACAATTTTTCCTCTACTTCAAAACTCCTGTTAAGTGTTTGAGAATTTCAAAACTTCTGAGTCCGTAACTTGTTTTGTGTTTCCGTGATTTCAGGACCCTCTTCCCAGAACCGCACTAGAAAAACGGAGGAATCATGTCCATGATCGCGGCTTTCTACAGCAACAAGTCTCTACTCATCACAGGGGCCACAGGCTTCCTGGGTAAAGTGCTGATGGAGAAGTTGTTCCGCACCAGCCCCCACTTGAAGGTCATTTACATCCTTGTGAGACCCAAGTCTGGACAAACGCTGCAGGAGAGGGTTTTCCAGATCCTCAACAGTAAGGTGCGTCTCACAGGAGGGCTGTGTGTGACACTGGGTGGCTGAGTGACTGTGTGCATGTTTGCCTGCTGAAGCTCTGTAATGTTAGTGTTAAGCAGCATCTTGTCTCCAGGAGGCAAGCCTGCAGGCACACCTGTGAGTGTTAGGTCAATCTAGCATGCCTGCCTGGGGGGAGATTCTCTTAATTAGGTTATTTGAGAGATGGGAAGGCCTCCCTGTCATGTGTGACACCATTTCCTGGGTTGGGATCCTGGATTGCTGCCTTCACTTCCCAGCGATGGTGGGCTGTGCTTCCAACTGAGAGCTAAAGTAGGACCTTTCCCCCTCAAGTTGTTGGGGCTGGGCATTTTATTAAATCAGCTGTAAAAGGAACTGGACAAACTCCCAACTACAGGCCAGAGCATACAAGGGATAGGAAAAGAAGACGGACAACCGTATCGCCTGTGTTTTCTCTGAGGAGGGTAGCAGTGCTTCGATTATAATTGGGCAGGAAAGGAAATCGTCCTCATAAAGGCTTGAATCTGACATGCCTTCACGGTTCCTGTTTTGGGTGCCTATTCTCCATTGTGGAATTTGAGAGGCTGTGGGACCAAGTGTAGGTTAACCCTGATGGCAGAAATGGGGTCCGTAGGGGGCGACCTTTGATGCCCATGGCCCCCGAGCAGACTCTGAACACCATTGCCCAAGCTTGGCTCTTTCTGGCTATCACAAATAGTTGTGGCAGTATTCCTTTTAAATGTCTTTCTGTCTCACAGCTATTGTCTGGATGATTGACCGCTCTGGAAATCTAACTATTCAGTTGAATGTACACAGGGAATAGCATAGGACAGTAGGAAAAGCACTAGACCTTTCCCTACCCGTTTCTTCCCATACCAGAGAAACAGCCCAGCGTGGTGAACCTGCCATAGTTGCCTAACCCACCCACACCTTGTTTACACAACATATCAAATAACAAAAGTTATGTCACAGGGGTTCATGAGGATTAAATGAGATGCTGTTGCATATAATAATAATATCGCGTTGCATAATATAAAGATATCATCAATGACCTCTGAGTTCTTTTACCCAGACAAGCTCCTTTGCTCATTATCCCTAAAGCCAAATAAACCGTGGATTACCTAAACCAGTTTCACATATATCAGAGACGCATCCATTCCCACATTCTCTATAAGTCTCTATAAGACATAAAAGATTATTCATTTCTAATGAACAAGTGATATTTTTTATTGTTGTTTGAGACGGGGTCTTACTATGTAGTCTAGACTGGCCTCAGGCACAGAATCTATCCACTCAGCCTCCCAAGGCTGGGATTCCAGAGCTGCACCAGATTTCACAAACCTATGATAATGTATCTGTTCACATCCACACGGGCAGCTTAGCCATTCTCAAATCAGAGCCCATGTTGCTGGGAAACAGACAATTCTGTCTACCAAGTGCAAAGACAACTTTTGGTTGGCTGTCTTAGAACTCAAACTTCATATACAGCAGTAGTACAGAGACAAGGTAACTACCACTTAAGAAATAAGGAAATTAAACAAAGGAAGCTATTCAAAACGGCAGGCAGGAGGCCGGGCCCTATCTATTGAGAAATATGCTTGGCAGGACTAAGAGGTCTCCTTGAGAAGATTATAGAGCAGAGTAGGAAGATGTCCCTTACCAGGTCTCTGTGGACTCTCTGGGAAGGGGCCTCTCTGCCATCTCGTTCTGTGGCCAATTGCTCCGCCGTCTGGAAGGTTCTTCCTGGTGCCTCTGCTGCTGTGCTGTTGGGGAAGGTCTTCTTCTTGTCTTCAGCAATGCTTTCGTGGATATACAGCAGAAGGTGGAAACCAGCGGATAAGCACAGACTTGGGGTCAGGTGTTCTTAGAATCTAGGAAGAAAAGGAAATCACGGAGTGAGTGCACACAGTAGGTCAGCGTGTCGCAAGTGAAAGGCACGGGTGGAAAGGGTTAATGAGGAGGTACAAGAAGGAATCGTTGTTGAAGCAGTAAGATCCTAAACCTAAAATCCCGGAATGCCCTGAACTTCTCCATCCTACAAACACAGGTGTACCTGTTGCCAGCATTTAGGCTAGATGTGGAGGGTATCAAAGCTCCCCAGAAGAGAAGCGAATGATGTTTAAAAAGGCCTTACATTTCAAACTTTAGAGGAAATATGGGGACAACGAATGTACTATTGGCTCTGGCACAGCTTGATTTAGGACATTGGAAAACAACATTTTAAGAACTATTTCACTGGGTCCTTTTATGGCTACCACTGCTCAGCAGTTCATAGAAGAGACAATTAATCCCTAACAGGCATTTTAAAAATTAACTGAAAAAAAAAAATACTGACTTTGAATAAGCTCTAGATGCACATGTCTGTTTGAAAAAATAGTTGTTTGTAGCCCGCTATAATTGAATAAAATTGATGTATACATTTTGGAATGGCTAAATGAAAAGATTTGGCATAAAAATACTAACTTAGAATTAAAAATGCCTGAAAATGGAAAGGTCAAATCTCACCTGGTTAATTTAGATGACTTTGTAAAGAACCCAACATTCCTATGGTTCTGCAGCCCACCCCGTGTGAGAGTTGGGCTTTGTGAGTGCCATTAATAATTCTATTAACTCTCTAGATGAGACAAAGAACTGGAAACAAGAAATTGCATTTTTAAACTCCCAAAGCCTGTTTTGGTCCATTACTGCCTAACCCCTACCCAGGAAACTAACCCACCAACAGGAAGAGACCTTTGCATGGAGTTGTCACCCGGTGGCAGAGTGCTGTGTGTGGCAACACTCTGGGTTTAACCCCAGCACTACAGAAAGTTCTATAAATGTGAAGTAACCAGGAGAAATACTAACATCACAGGAATTCCAAACACCCCATGGTTAGCAAAGGCAAACTTGAAATATATAGCTGACCTTCAACGTGACAGTTACTTAGATAAGTCAGAGTTTGTTCAACACAGTGGAGGAGAGGGGAGGGGAGGGTAAGGGAGGGGAGAGAAGGGGAAGGGAGGTAAGGAGAGGAGAGGGGAGGGGAGGAGGAAAGTGAGGAGGGGAGGGGAGGGGAGGAGAGGAGAGGGGAGAGGAAAGGGGAGGGGAAGGGAGGGGAGGGGAGGAGGAAAGTGAGGAGGGGAGGGGAGGGGAGAGGAAAGGGGAGGGGAAGGGAGGGGAAGGGAGGAGGAAAGGGAGGAGGGGAGGAGAGCACAGGGGAGGGGAGGGGAGGGGAGGAGGAGTCCCAGGTTGACAGCTTTGGGAAATACAGAACATTAAAATCAGAAAGAACATTTCCTGTCTTTAAGGACTAAACGACTTGTGCTATGCTGAGCGCCGACTTTCATTATCACACTTAATCTTTGATGTCCTTGTAAAGTGTCTGTTCTTATGTCACAGATAGAAATTAATCCCAAAAACTGTCCTCTCCCCAAGGCTGCGTTATCTGTGCCAAGGAAGCAACGCAGGAAGGCAGCTCTGCTGAGGACCATGCCTCCCCCGCCCAGAGCCTGCTTCCTTGGTGACAAAAATCACGAGGAGCTCAAGTGCGGCTGGCCTGCTCTAAGTACCCGTTAGCACCTTCCCTTCTTAACATGGCCCCGTCAGAACCTCGAAATAATCTTATGGTCGGTCTTCATCTTCCAGGCTAACTGCCTCCTGCCCACACACTTATTCTCAGAGCTCACTATGTAACCTGCCTTGTGGGAATAAAGAATAAAAAGGTGACAGGTGAAATATAGGTTCTTATGAAAAGTGAACTGAAATTCTGTTCTAGAGAACAGGTTCACATGTTTAATCTCTAATTCTCTAAGGTCACGGGATGGTACAGTTCCATGATTGGCATTTCATGTAATTGTGCAGAAAAAGAAAGGCCCAGAGGACCTCACAACATGTTCTTGTTACACGAGCAACAAAGAGCAGAATGGGGATTTAGCCCCAGCCCCTGGTGATGACAGGCAATCTGACATCTTTCCAGGAGACACAGTGCTGGCTCACACCTGTAGTGTGTCACCTACCACCGTCAGTCATTACACACCCAGTACCAAGGGCAGGTGCCCAAGCTTCAACTCAGAACTGTTGATCCAGAACCTTCTATACCTTCCAGGCAGTCCTAATCACATGATCACACCACATTCATTGTCTTGCGGTGGTACAGCCATTGTTCTCATTGAAGCAATTAAAAACTTCCAGATTGATCCTTTACAGCCTATGGGACTGGCTAGCAAAGAACAAGATCCCGATGTTCTGTGGTGTGTGTGTGTGTGTGTGTGTGTGTGTGTGTGTGTGTGTAGAACCAAGGAGCACACTGTCTTTAGAATCTGGGGACCAAGCGGCCTGTCTCTGGTTTAAAAAAAACCAATTTTGCACGTTTTTAACACTTCTCAACATTTATCCCCATGGATGCTATATGCAAATTTCACCTTAGCAAAATGGTTGGAAACAAGATTGTTTTCACTAAAATGATGTTTTCAAAACAATAGAAAATGCAAATTTAACCTAAAAACCTTTGTGTGGTGGGGAAAGCAGAGACTCAGGCCCCTCTAGTAAATGTAATAAGAGCCAAAATTGTTGTTATCATCTCGTCTCGCTTCATACATAAACTGGAGTGCTAAAAAAGGCACTTAAAATCCAGTGAACCAGTACATGAGCTCATGTAACCTTTGACATTAACTGCCATTGATATTACAGTATGATTACATAAAATTTCTGTTTTACTCATAAGGTGCTCGCCTAACTTTTTTTGTTTTACCAATTACATTAGTGCTTATATCTTTGTAGCTGAGCCCATTAAGCAAGGTGATTTCATGTTGTCGGCTAAAGGCTGATGACCCAGTCCTGAAAACCATTATTTCTCATATAAAAAGTAAAAACGACCTCCATGTGTAAATACAAGTCCTCTAAAGAACAAAGGCAGTCAGGTAAAAAGGGAGGGTGTTGACTGTCTTACCTGTGGCGTTTATCGATGTGATAAAGCATCACGACCAAAGGGAACTCAGGGACAAAATGTTCATCCCACTTACACATCCCTGTTCATCGCTGACTTCTGTCAGGACAGGGACTCAAGCAGGGCAGGAACCTGGAGGCAGAAAGTGTGATGCGGAGGCCTTGGAGGATGATGCTCACTGGCTCGCTCCTTATGGCTTGCTTAGCCTGCTTGTTTACAGCACCCAGGACCACCAGCTCAGATGGTACCAACCACAATGGGTCAGGCCCGTCCCCCATCAATCACTACAGCCCAATCTTATGGGCGCATTTTCCTATCGTGTGGGAAACAAGATTCACCAGGACAAGTATAGGATGATGTTTATTCAGGGAGAAATCACTTACACCTGAAACAGATGACTGCCGTGGGTTCCCACTCCAAGGGGCCACCCGGATGCTCTCCACAACACGACCAGGAAGTAAGAGAGGGAGCTGAGGTCCAGGACCACAGACCTAGCTTCCCCTGACACAGCCACACCTGTGTCCATGCCCCAATGGGTGCAACAGGTGAGGGCAGGGTGGGTATCTCACTACTTTTCCAAGTTGAGATTCCCTTCTCTTGGATGACTCTACTTTGTGTCGAAATGACATAAAACTAGCCAGTGGAGTGATTATCACTCCTCCAAAATATGCACCTGACTGATGGTTGGACATGCCTTTTTCAGACATTCCTGGAATCGAGAGGATCCAAATCGCATCAAGTGCATGAAACAAAGTAGGAGACTCTTGACTATGTAGACACCTTCACCGAAAATGCTAATATTACAACTAACACGGTTTTGAGTGCTATAGTGAAAAAAAAAAAAAAAAACATGTATCCAAAGCAAGGCTTTGTGGCGTTAACAAGGCATGCGGCCTGTTTCCGTTTCAGCTGTTTGAGAAAGTCAAAGAAGTCTGTCCGAATGTACATGAGAAGATCAGACCCATCTCCGCAGACCTCAACCAGCGTGACTTCGCCATCAGCAAGGAGGACATGCAGGAACTTCTGTCCTGCACCAATATCATCTTTCACTGTGCGGCCACTGTTCGTTTTGACGCACACCTGAGGTATAATCCCTCTGTGCTCGAGGCTTGTAGCTCGCTCTCTCCTCCCCCACCTCTCTCTCTCTCTCTCTCTCTCTCTCTCTCTCTCTCTCTCTCTCTCTCTCTCTCTTCTCTCTCTGTAAAAGTGAAAAGCAAAAGGGAAAGGACCACAAAGCATATGCCAATGTAAAAAGAGACGTACAGGAACCTTCAGAATGTCTCCACATCCTGCTGTGCAGAGGCAGCAGACTAGACAATCATAGTGCACACACACATTCGCCTTTCTACCTGTCTCCGCATCCGGGTGTGCAGAGGCAGGGTCTGTCACGGTGTGCACACACGCACTCACCTTTCTTTCTACCTGTTTCTGCAGTTATGCAGACACGGGCTCAACTTCAAAGTAAGGGTTCTGGAGCTCCTACTGGGAGCATTCCGTGCCCTGCCCAGCGCAGCTGGAATGACAGCGGGCATGGAATTGCACAATTTTCTTATTTCTCTGATGGCTAAGGAAGGTTGGTTGGCATGCTTAAACGCTTATTGCTATTTTATTCAGTCTTGGAATGCCTGTTTGTAGTATTTTCCTATTTTGACCTGGGGGGGGGGGGCAGGGCATTTCTTTTGTTTTATTTTGCTGACTTCAAGATTACTTGGAAGCTTCCCTACATTAACTTTATCTTTTGCAAAGTCCAACATGTTTCAGCTTATCTGCATCTCTCTACTTTTGTATATTCACAACGTCTTGAATTATTGTTGTAATTTTTACATTTACATATTCAATTCCATTGAATGCCTCTGGCTTCTGTGGGTACCTACACCCAGATTCACACACACACACACACACACACACACACACACACACACACACAAACCACCACCACCAACAACAACAATGTATGTGGGATCATATAGTTTTTCTCTTTCTGAGCTACCATGGAGCTACCTGATGATACTGGATAAATGATGTGTCCCTGGAGTGAATTCTGGCCATCTTGATGCTTACACTGAGTTTATATAGCTTTCCACAGTACCAGATATAATGTAGGATTTGGCATCAATCTCCATGGCTGGACTGGGCCGTTACAACAACAACTTACATTGTTCTTTCAAATATCTACTCTTAGCTGGGCAGTGGTGGTGCACACCTTTAATCCCACCACTTGGGAGTTTGAGACTAGCATGATCTACAAGAACTAGTTCTAGGACAGACTCCAAAGCTATACAGAGAAACCCTGTCTTGGAAAAAAAAAAAAAAAGAAAGAAATATGTACTCCTACTTCTCTCCATGTTGTCTGTTTTCCATCTTCTTGAGTTACGTACGAGCCCTTCATTTGCTTTGGTTCTTTGAGTGGCCACTTAGTGAAGCCGCTTATCAGACCAGAGGACCATGCTTTCTTCAGTTTTACTGACTAGAATCATGTAACCACTAGACACAGTATGTCCCACTGACCAAGACTGAGGACTCCATATGCCAGGAGCACATCATGATTTCAAGTGTCACCGACTTGTGCAGCCTTTCCTCCTCTGTCTGGAGATGCTCCACCGAGATCTGAGCCCTTTACCTGTTCCTGAAGCGGGCACATACACCACTTAGAGCTTGGTACACGGCTCACTGGAGGAGGCACGCTCGCTCATCATGTGGTGAGCAGGTGCCGGGTGCCTTCACTATTTCTTCCTGCTTCCTCCTCTGCAGAGAGGCTGTGCAGCTGAATGTCACCGCCACCCAGCAGCTCCTGCTGATGGCCAGCCAGATGCCAAAGCTGGAAGCCTTCATCCACATCTCTACTGCCTTCTCTAACTGCAACCTGAGCCGCATAGATGAGGTCATCTACCCGTGCCCCGTGGAGCCGAGGAAGATCATTGACTCCATGGAGTAAGCCGGGTCAAGTGAGGGAGCTGGGCGGGCCGGCAGCAGGTGGCTTCCTCTTGGTCCCTTGTCATTGTTAATGAACTTATGAGGTAGGATGCTTTGGAAGCCAAGTGCTTTGGGAAAAAAAAAAAAAAAAAAAAGAAATGCTTCACCTGTCTCTACTAGTCCCTTGTACCAGGGAGAAACAGGCCCCAGGAGGGAAGGGATATAGAAAATGTGTATGTGTATGGACTAGGAACTAGTCAGGGCCTTGAGAATGCTAAGCAAGCACTCTTCCACTGAGCTACATCCCCATCCCTGAAAATCCCTAAAGAAACACTTCATGGAGGATAGGGCTGCAGAAACCCTAGACCATGAATGCATTCCTCACCTCTCAGGAGAGAAACTTTAGAGTTGGACTGATGTGGGTTCAACTCATGGCTGATAAATTGCTGTGCAAACTGGAGCAATTGTTTTAGCCTTTCTGACCCACCCCCCCACCACGCCCAGTCATTTTTTGTTGCTTTTTCTGTTGCTCTGATAAAATACCTGAACAGAAGCCACCTATGAGGGAAGGGCTCATCCGGGCTTACAGTTCTAGGCCAATCCATCATGACAGGGAAGCTACTGCTGTAGGAGTTGGAGAGAACTGGCCACATTGTATCCTCATCAAGAAACAAAGGACTGGAACCCTCCTCCTGCTCACCTTGAGTCTCTTGCTTATTTCACCCAGAAAGCAAATACAGGAACTGGTGCCTCCCATTTAAGAGCGGGTCTTCACACCTCATTCAGCACAGTCAACACAGCCCCTCAAACACAGGCAGAGGCTAACCACCATAGACCCCACCGTACAGTTGTGAGAATGAGCAGATTTACATGAATCAACTCCTACAGTTCTGGGGAGGAATGGTTTTTGGTGAAGAACCTAATTCTTCCAAAATGTAGCAGGGGGCGGTCTGTGCATGTTCTGCTGAGGTACACTTCCCTACCCTTGCTAAAGTGCTCTCCAATCTGTTTTCTCTCATTGCCAGTCAATAACAAAACACTTTCTTCACAGGGTATGGTTCTAGTTTCGGAACTTTATTTCTGTTTTCCGTTTATTTGGTTCCAGCTACTTGAATTTTGTGTCTTTTAAACTCTTTTTTTTTTTAAATTATGGCACAAAATGACTGTTTCATGGTAAATCTGCCAGTGTATAATTTCATGCAATACTGTAATTGCATCTGAAATATGCTCCTTTTTAAAAACTTCAGCTAAATTGGGAGCTTGTTCCCCTCATTTCTGCCTCTCCTGGCTCTGAGGGTGGATGTTTTTACCTGTCACTTTAAAATCTTCAAAATGGAGTTTGTTTAGAAGAACTGGTACAAGGGAGCATTTCAAGTGAACGGTTCCTGGGGGAGTCACAGAGAAGGCACACGAGGTTTGATGCCCAAGCCATTTCAGGCACATTTATAGAAAGCCCAAGAGCATGCTCAATATGGAACTGATGCTCATCACCGAGCCTCCCTCTCACAGAGGTTCCCAGGAAAAGGGCCCACCTGCTTGATTCAAAACCAAAACTGAATTCCAGGGGCCTCATTCACTGTCCTCCCTTTTGATATCTGAAAGGGGACTATGCAGTTGGAAACCTCAGAGTTCACAGCTCAGCACAGTGAAAGGCTCCTCAGGCCACCTCCTCCCAAACTGTGTGCAGACACTAAATACTCCAGGGCTAAAAGGAAGAATAAATCCCCTCCCAGAGAAGGAGTCAGCATGCTGTCTTGTCTTCAATATGCCCAAAGCTCTGGCAAGTATACATCAGCAGGAAAAGTCCATAACTTACGGTCAGTAATTGGGGTGGAAGGGGCAACTCACAACAAGCATTATGCTTAGACATTCCTTCTTCCCTGGAAAACGTTTAAATTCGCTGTGAAACAAATAACCCCAAACTGAGGGTGACTGCTTTCTGCCCTTTTGTTCTTAGCACTCCACCACTGTGGCCAATATTTTCACGATTTTGCTTCCTTCTCTGTAAAAGCGCCCTTTCCTCCTCTGGCGTACCTCCCCACAACCCCATTTCCTTCCGAGCCCACCTGTTCTGTTGTGTCTCTATCCATCCCTGCCTCCCTAAACCTTAGGGAGTGTAGAAACCGAGCCCTCCTGAGGACAGGATGGTGCAGGTACTAAGGAAGCAGGGTTTGGGGGACAGGAAGGCGATGAGACACATGGATGACGACATGGAATCCCTGATCTCTGGACGGAGAATCAGACACATGTCAGACTCATAAGTGTGAGTACAAGTAACCTAACTAGAGAAGATGAGGAAAGGTCATCATAGAATCCCTGCCATTCGCTCCCAGAAAGCTTTCCTCAAAATGCTTGTACATCTGTCTTTCAGAAGATAAATCAGGGTGATGGGTATTCCTTATTTCGCTTGACTGCTTACAAACAAGAAGCTATTAATACCACATTAAGGGAGAGTAAGTTAGAAGAGCCTGTGCTGTGTGTAGCTGCGTCAGACATACACCTGCTGCCAAGATCTTCAATGACTTTATGCATCTTTTGAAGCAACTTGAGTAGAATCTTAGACTTGGGGACTCGTGGAAAGAAAGTGAAGTCGAATTTGGGAACCGCAGACTTGTAGGTTCAAACCATGTCCCTGGATATACCGCAGGACATTCGGTTGGTTCCAGAAATGTATGTTAATTCTTGCAGTTTCTTTTCTCCAGGCTGATTCCGTTTTGAAGAACTAACGGGAAAGAGAATATAGGAGGGCCTCGGGCAGGACTAGAAGGGCATTTGTCACACTGCCCTTCCCTCTGAATCCAGGAAGGGATTACAAGGGACAGAAAATGGTCAAGGGGCAGTAGAAGAAAAGTTACTTTAAAATCAACTATGGGCTTGCTTTTATTAAACCAGAATGCCACCACTGACCTGGGAATGGAGTATGTGTAAACCCTGGGTTCAATTCCTAGCACTGAGAATGAGAGATGGGTAGAGGAGTGGGAAAGAAGGAAGAGAATTCTATTTCATTTATAGGTGCATATATCCATGCTTGTCCTCATGATAATCCAAGAATTGGAGCAGACATAACCAGCATCTTTCCTGATTAAAAATGGGGAACAAGAACAGAATACAGCAGTCAACATGTGGAACTGAGTAGTGGGGGGCAAGCCTTCTGCATAGGCAGTAAGCTCTCACACCCACATCCCTAGGAATATATGCAGCCAATATTCTCCAAGACAAGCTAACTTGCCCCACTGTGTAGACCCCTCAACTATAACCCTTTGCAACGAGCGGCTGTGCCTTGTGTTGTGACATTGAATCCCTGTGGGTTTTAGGTTCTCCTGTTCTCTTGAAATTGTTTTTCCTTGCAGCCCTGATGACATTAAACTTGTTTTTTTTGTAATCTGTATTGGCACAGGAAATGGTCTTAGGTTAGCCAATCCACTACTTACCTACAAATGAGATGAAATGACATGGGTACAGATACCCTCCGTATCTGTGACTTTTCATCTTTACATTCAACCAACTGCTAATCTGAATACTTGTGTCTGTATTGAGCCGGTCATCGCTCCATTGATGTGGGATGTCCTTCTGTGTGCTGCGAATATGTGTTGCATATTATTAGTTGATGAGTAAAGCTGCTTGGGCCTATGACAGGGCAGAATATAGCTAGGTGGGAAAGCCAAACTGAAAAGAGAAGAAGGCAAGGCTGAAGGAGAAGCAAGATGTGAGGTAAAAAGCCATGAGCCTCGTAGTAAAATAAACTATTAATAGAAATGGGTTAATTTAAACGTAAGCGCTAGCCAATAACAAACATGAGCCATCGGCCAAACAGTTATATTAACCCTCTGAATTATTATAGGCAGCTTCGGAACAGGAAAGGCATAGAAAAGCCTCCAGCTACACTTCATAACACAAAAGCAGGCATTGGTGGTGCACACCTTTAATCTCAGCAGAGACATGAGGATCTCTGTGAGTCCGAGGCCAGGTCTATAGAGCGAGTTACAGGACAGGCTCCAAAACAATACAGAGAAACCCTGTTTTGAAAAACAAAACAAACAAACAATACAATAAGCACTTATACTGCATTTGCATTGTGCTCAGTGTTACAGGTAGAGGCAGGTGAGGATTTGCATAGGTTATGTGCAAACCATTCCCCTTGGATACCAAGTGGAATCAAATGTGTGTGTGTGGGGGGGGTCTGCCTCATCTAAACCATTCCCCTTGGATACCAAGTGGAATCAAATGTGTGTGTGTGGGGGGGGTCTGCCTCATCTAAACCATTCCCCTTGGATACCAAGTGGAATCAAATGTGTGTGTGTGGGGGGGTCTGCCTCATCTAAACCATTCCCCTTGGATACCAAGTGGAATCAAATATGTGTGTGTGGGGGGGGTCTGCCTCATCTAAACCATTCCCCTTGGATACCAAGTGGAATCAAATGTGTTGTGTGTGTGGGGGTCTGCCCCATCTGTCACTCTCCCAATTCCCATGTGGTCTCCTAATTCTTTTGACATGTGTATGTGTATATGGTGTGTATATATGCATGCTTACATGTGCACACATGTGAGAGCATGGAGGCTCACAGTTGATGTCAAGTGTCTACCTTTTCTCAATCCCTTCCATAGCGCACACTGGGGTGCCGCCTGGAGCTGGCTTATGTGGTTAGTCTAGCTGGACAGCCTGTTCCAGGGACCCTGACTCTGCCTCCACAGTGCTGTTATTACAAACTGGCATGTGTGGGTTCTTGATACCAAAACTCTACTACTCAACACTTGCGTGGCGAGTACTTCTTACACTGTTCTGTTGTTTCAATTCTAGGGATTTCTCTACTTTTCCACACTCAACCCAGAGGCATTTGTGTGCCCAGGTTATATTCAGTGCTCACAGAAGCAAAGGAAGGGACATGGACCCATTACAGCTAGTTTCTGTAGTCTACCCCTCTGTCAATGAGCGCGATTAAAATACAGTGTCATGACTGAGTAGACCTTAGCATCAGACAGTGTTTAACAAATTGTCACAGGAGTGGAAGGATAAATAACTGCTGACGTTTTCTACAACCAAAACAGTCCAGTTATGCTTTCTCCTATAAAATAAGGACAAATGCACTAAACATGTTAGTTTAAGAACTGCATGAACATGACTGGCAAGATGACTCAGTGGACAGAAGCACTCCCCACCAAGCCTGATTGATGGCTTGAGTTTAATCCCCAGGACTCACATGGTGGAAGGGGGACGGACCTTTACAAGCCATCGTCCTTGGCAAATGCACACTCCCTACAATCATACACACAAGACAAATACGATTTTTAAATACGTCGTTTAAAATTTTTAGGCTGCCTGGATACATCAACAATTTAACCAAATAGCCCTCTACCTAAAAGAAGCACTAAATATCTAAGTGGCGATAATGCTGCTCTTGAGAGAAGTATCGGTAAACATGGGATTATTGCAATGGTTCTGGCATGTTTTCAATTAGGCTGATTCTCTGGTACTGCCTGTCACCCCTAAGTGGAGCTATTCAGTAGCTCCTCAGAGCCCTGGACTCGCTCTGCACCAGTCGATGGAAAGCCCTCAACAGTCTCTTAAGATTCTAAACAAATCTGAAGAATATGTTAGGGCTATGTCTGCCAAATGTAGCTGCTTTGTGCGCACAGTGAAATTTTAAAAAGTTAAAAACTACAGGGAAATTTTAAAAAGTTAAAAACTACAGGTTTAAGATTGGTACAAGACAGCTGTACTGGAGAAGCCTGAACATAGCAGCTTGGAGGAGGATCCCCTGAACTGGGAGCACATGGGTTTGGTCACACACATGCTCAGTGAACACACGTGTGACTATAGAACTACAGAAGTAAAGATAGGGTAAAGATATGAGATGCATCAAATCACACATCCGTGGAAATAATCAAGTGTCTGGCAGGGGGGGGGGGGCAGAGCAGATTAACTAAGATACAAGGAATGATTTGAGCGCACACACATTTATCCTTGCGACCCAGGGATGGTCGTCTCCCAGATTCGAGCCAGGAGGTAGAAGTTTTGTTTGATTGGCTATTTCTTGTTTTCTTGTTGTTCTATTGTGCTGTGGATGATTCTAGATTTTTTTTCTCTCTCTCTGTTTTCAGGTGGTTAGATGACTCTATCATTGATGAGATCACTCCCAAGCTGATTGGGGACCGGCCCAATACCTACACCTACACCAAAGCCTTGGGAGAGATAGTGGTACAGCAAGAAAGTGGGAACCTGAATGTGGCCATCGTCAGGCCATCCATAGTGGGCGCAACCTGGCAAGAACCCTTCCCCGTGAGCACGCTTTCCCTGCTTTGCTTCAATCCAGGCGCCGTAAAAGCAAGCTTCTTTCTAATTGTCCTTATCTTCTTCTCTTTTTACTTACCCTTTCTTTCCTTCTCCCTTCTCTTCCCACATTATTTATGACCAACCAATTGGATATATATATATATATATATGTATGTATGTATGTATATGCCTATATGTATATATACATATACATGCATATATGTATATATATACATATATATACATATATACATATATATATATATATTACACACACACACACGAGCGCGCGCGCGCGCGAACAGATTGGGCTGTCCAAGGGTAACAACTCTCCGAAATGTGTAACCAACAGAGATCTTTCTTTCCAGGGTTGGGTTGACAATGTAAACGGACCCAGCGGACTCATTATTGCGGTATGTACAAAGATGAGAAGGTAACCCCTGCAAATGGAGAACTTGACAGAGACCTTGGTGTCTACTTTGCGTGGTGATAAAGGAAATAGCTTATCTAGAGTTACTAAAGGGAAGATGAAAGCAACTCGAAGTTGCTTTTATCATCAGGACAGAGGTGACTGACATGCTCAGTTGCTATTCCAGAGTTTTACTTGGGAAATGTTTGCATACCAAAAATTTTCCTTTGGTTACCACAAGGTGGAGGTATCTCCTTTTCATTGTTGTATTAATGGCTTGAACGAATGCAGTCAGGATTACAAGAAAAATATTAGCCTCAAGAGCCAGGGATGTGGCTCAGCTGGTAAGTAGCATGCTTGGTCTGGTATAGTTAAGACCCTGAGTTTGACCCACAGCATTTCACAAACTGAGTGTGTGTGGTAACTCACACCTGTAATCCCAGACCTCAGAGAGGCAGAAGGATCAAAACCTCAAGGCCAGCCTGTGCTACATGAGACCATGTCTCAAAACAAAACAAAACACAACAAATCTTATGGCAGAGATTGTGGAATGCTTGATAGTAAAATATACAAGCTTGTGTGTATGTGTTCTTACTTCTGCCTTTCCCTGATTGCTTTCATTCCTTTGCCCATGACAGTTTAGATGGGGGCAAAATCATGTTAACATGGGCTGGAATCACTTTCATTACAGTGCACACTGATGTGAATTCTACCCACTCCACATTGTACTTTTAGTAGGCAAAGATGATAGCTAATTTACACACACACCCACACCCACACACACACACACGTGCACACACCACATACCACACATCTCTCACACACACGCATGACCACACACACATACCATACCACACATCACACATCTCACACACACACACACAAACATACACGTGCACACACCCCTATGGGTTCTTACAGCAAAAGGTGCTTGGTGTTTAACCCACACACAAAGTGGCTAGCCCTGGCTGTGACTTCACACCTTGTTTATATCTTATGCTCCATCTCTCCTGAGCAGACAGGGAAAGGATTTCTTCGGTCCATAAAAGCTACTCCCATGGCAGTGGCGGATGTGATTCCGGTTGACACAGTTGTTAATCTCACCATAGCAGTGGGCTGGTACACTGCCGTTCACAGGTAAGCATGCTTACAAGCCTCTGAGATGAGATGGGCAGTCACACTTTCATCCTACAAGACTCCAAAGTGAAAGGATGTTTGTTCCAGTATCTCAGAATTCCCAATATACAGGCTAAGGTGTGTGAATACTGATTAATACTTGGTGGGCAATAAAATAACTTGCTATCAAACCACTTACCATTGAATTTTTGAATAACCAAAGGCTTTTCTTTTTATTCGGTATTTTTTTTTTTACTTCCCTCTGAATGTCTTATTATTTTCTTATGTTAAATAGTGTTTCACCTCAAGGTCACTTTGCATGGCTTTTCACTAGAACTCCATGTTAAAAATACTTGTTTTGGCTTCCACAAAAATTATAACAACTTCAAAAGAAGTCTTAATTAGATTTTTATTTTTAAACATGAGTTCTTGTTTGCATATGCACATGTGTGACACATGCTCTATCCGGTACCTAAGTAGGAACTGGTTGATGAAATGGCAGCACAGTTTATTTTTGTTGAACTGCTGTTCAGTTGCTGGTAAATGCCAAGAGATAAGACGTAAGTTTGCTGACACAAGGGAAGGCTAGGGTGCCTGTGCCAATGTGCTTCTGTTAGTAATTACAAGGACAATGAAAGTTTTCTCATGTGAACTCTGGCATGCATGTTCCACAGGCCGCACCTATTCGATATATGGGTGTGTGTACCTTTGCTCTTTCATTTTTCCTATCAACCCAAAGAAGGAGCAGAAAATCTGAAAGTGCTGTGTAGATTCATATTCACTTGCCTCGGTGTTATTTCCCTCTATTGTTCATTAGTTATCGATTTGGTTGTGTTTGTTTAACTTTTATCTTCCAGACCTAAATCAACGTTAATCTACCATTCCACATCTGGTAATCTCAACCCGTGTAATTGGCATAAAATGGGTGAGTGCCTTTAACTATGTTAAGTATGTAACTACTGTATCGGCCAGGGGAAAAATAGTATGTCTTGTAGCCAGAAACAAAACCAGCCATAAAGAGAGAAGAACCTCTGCAGATTGTAAATGTGATGTAGTCAACTAGAATGTACAGTGATAAAAGTGGGCTGTGGAACACCCCCAAACATCTCTCCTCCTCACAGTGGCCATTTCAGAAAGGCCACACAACAGTCAGTCCACCTGTTACAGGGCAGTGGTATTGTTCACTCACTTGTTCAGATGCCTGCCCATGCCCAGCCCCAACTTTGCAGTAGCTGTGACGCTAAAGGTGTTTTGTTGGTAACTAGGGATCTGCCTGACCAATCCATGAATGGTGCATTCCTTTGTCGATTTAGGAGTTGGTTTTCTTAATAGAGTCTGAGGTTTTAAAGCCTCTAGCTGTTGTACTAGTCTGATTCCCACTCAGAGCACACGCGCTGTGGTTATTTGTACTTGCAAAGTTACAAACACAAAATTATCTGTGATCAAGTTCTTTTCATTGTAAACCAAGTTATTTAGATTACATATCTAAATCAGAATTGATTTCAAAATAGTATGAAATTTGTTTTTGTATCAGTAATGGGAGATATCTAAGATTCTATCCATATAAATTGATATTAACATAAGCAGATAAGATAGTGTAAACTCAGGGCAAGAGAGACGGCCCTGTTAAGAGTGTTACTACTCTTTCAGAAAATCCAGTTTGGTTGCCAGCACCCCATCAGTTGGCTCACAACTGCCTCTAACTCCGGCTCCAGAGGTCTGCCACCTTCTTCTGGCCTCTGCAAGCCCATATACACAAATGCACATACCTACACACCGACACACATATATACTCATGATTAAAAACAAAATAATTTTTAAAGAGTTCGGGGGATGTAGTATTTTTAAGAACTATCTTTCTTCCTGAAAACTCTCATTTTATGGAGTTAGAGATGATTACAGTTAAAAGGAGCTTAAAAACAATCTAGGGTGCACAACTTACATGAGGTCCAGAGAGTAAAGGAGCTTCTTGGATTCATAAAGGGAGCTAGTTGATCCCTGAAATAAAAGTAAAGCCAGGTCTCTGGCTCTCTTCCGGGTGAGTAACCTTTCCACTAGTAATTTAGGAAATAAAATATAAGTCACTGTTGAAAACAAAAATAAAGCCAGCGTCCTTGATCAAAACCCTTAGGCGATGCCAAGGACACTGCTATGTGACTATCCGTGCAATGGTTCCTCCTGTAAGAGACCCACGTGCAATGGTTCCTCCTGTAAGAGACCCACGCTACACAAGCTCCGTTGGCTGTGTCTTTGTAGCAGGCAGCATGACCGTTTATAAATTGGGGCTTGCTTACAGTTCCAGACACTTAGTTCACTGTCATCATGGTAGAGAGAGTGGCAGCAGCTATGGCAGGCATGGGCCACAAATGTAGCTAAGAGATGCGAACTGGCAACTCTTCTAACCCTTTCCAATAGTGCTACTTCCCCGCTGACTAAGCATCCAGATACACGAGCCACCACATTCCACTCCCTGGTCCCCTAAAGCTTAATGAGAAATGGTCCCCATAGTCTTTCAGTCTCAAAGTCTCTTCGGGGACTCGCGGCTGTCTCTTAACTATCACCCCTTGTGAAATCAAAACGAGAAAGGCAGATCTCATACTTAAAATATAAAATGATACAGGATATACACTACCATCCTGAAAGACAGGAGAGGGATCACAGTGAGGAAGTACTGTGCCTGCGGAGGACCAAAACCCAACAGGGCCAACTCCACATTCTACATCTCCAAGTCTGATGTCAACAGTGCTCTCCAGATCTCCAACTCCTTCCCGCTATGTTGACTACAACACACTTCTCTTTCTTGGGCTGGTTCCGCACTCGGTATGCAGCATTCCTTGGCAGGTTACCACGACCATTGCATCTCCAATATCTTGTCTTCAACGAAATCCAGGCGTCACCTGCACAGCTTCACACAATGGCCTCTCCAATCCGCTACACAGGGGGCACTGTTGTAATTTTATTTATTTATTTATTTATTTAGAAAAAGAGGTGCAAGAGAGAAAGATGTCATGCAACAGAATTAATTCAGGCAGAAGGATTCTTCATTAGTGGAAAGGGGACAGGAGAAGCTGGAGAGAGGAGAGAAGGGGAAAGAGACAGAGAGAAAGTCAGAGACAGAGAGGATAGAGGATAGGAGGTGGGCAGGGCCCTTTGAATAGGCACAGGTGGTGCTCTTAGTGGCTGCATCTGAGGGTGTGTCCTGTAAAAACTCCAAGGACAGGCCGGTACAAATGCCTAAATACTAACAGGAATCTCTGACACAGGCTTAGCTCAGTGGCTTTCCTTAGACACAGATGCAGATTTCACAACCTCTTTCTTGTATTCTTAATTCTAAAGCCAGAACCCTGTGGCCGAGGCTGCCACCTTATACTACTTGCTGAAACTGGGACGAGGCCCCCTCATTCAATTTCTTCTACGTCAACCTTTTGTTTTGCTTGGTTTCCTTTGATGCTTGCTTTAGCTTTTTATTCCTTTTCACAATCTGGGAGCTCAGCTGGGTGGGGTCTTGCCCTGAGGTCACCACTCCCTTTATTCCAATTAACATCAGGCTTTCTAAAAATTAATTAATTAATTAATTTTAAGCCTTTCGTCTCCTCGAGCACTGGACTTAGCTCCATTACATTTCTTGGTGATCCCTTTCTCCTCAAACTATACATTTTATATTTCTCGTCGCCCTGTTTGCTCCTTTTCATTGTAGATCTGCATGAGAATGACCACTAGTAACCATGCAACACAGTCAACACTGGGCTGTCCTGAAATTGCCTCTGTCAATGCCATTAATACAATTTAGTTTCTGGGAAATTTTTAGGACAAGGGAAGAAAGCAGCCACATTCTTTTTACCAAAACACCACTAGAATGATCTCTGGGGTATTTGCTAATTTCTTTCTCTCTGAGACTTCTTAATCTGAGTCCAAACAGTTCAAATCTCCCCCAGCACTGTCTTCCAGCTTCCACTGGGATCGCCCGTTAGCCACCCTGCCCAGCCACTTTTCTAGTCCAAAGTCCAAAAGACTCCCATATTACTCCAACAAAGAGCATGGCCAAGCTTGTCAAAGCAACAAGTGAGTCCTAGGCAGCAACTTCTGTCTTTGTCACTGTTTTACTGTGATGACACCATGACCAAGGCAACTCTTATAAAAGAAAGCATTTAAATTGGCAGCTTGCTTACAATTTCAGAGGATTAGTCCATTATCACCATGGGAGCATGGTACATCCTAACCCACAGGCAGGAGGGGGAGGAGAGAGGGAGGAGAGAGGAGGAGAGAGAAGGGGGAGGAGAGAGGAGGAGAGCCTGGGTCTGCCCTGAGCTTTGGGAACCTCAAAGCCCCACCCCCAGAGACACTTACTACAACAAGGTCACACCTACTCCAATTAATGCCACATCCCCTAACCCTTTCAAATAGCACCACTCCCTGGCGACTAAGCATTCAAATACATGAGCCTATGAGGGCCATTCTTGATCGAACCAACACATGATGTTTACACATAAGGGACTAGATCTATTCAATGGCCAAGACCCACCGAAATGAATTTAAGTATCTAATGATGATAGAAGTTTAAGGAAGGTGGTCTGGCCATCCTACAGTGACGCACACCCCTCTCTGTGTTACACAGTAACTCTCTCTAGGTGCTTCGGGCTTCCGTGGTGCCATCTGGGAAACAGAACAGCCAAACCCCTGCAGCTTGTTGTATGACAGGCTGTTAACTTGGAGAATGTCTTTTCAGGAATGATAAACACTTGGACATACATGCTTCTCAGACCCTCACAGCACAACAGATATGCTTAGCTGGCCATGTCTTTCGTCCAGTGCCAAGCCTCCACACAAGAAGCCTAATACAGCACATCAGGATGCCGTTAGCCACTAATTCAAGTTTGTTCGGTTTGGGACACCTTTATGCTTCGTGACAGGGTTATTAGATGTGATCCAAATACTTCTAACTGGAACCACTAGCAATGTCACTATAGGTTGAACATTTAAGTTTCAAGTAACAATGCAGAAGGATAATTGATAGCTGGGTAGGTGAACATGTAACATCTCTCCATTCAGTTACCTCTGTTAATGCCCTTCAAGAAAAAAAATTAAATTCTTTCCATATAGTTCTTAAGCATTTTTTATCAGATTTATACCTAGGATCAAGGAAATGTATACATTTTGTTAATAATTAATGGTACCTTTATAAAGAATACATTTTCTAATAGTTACTGGGAAGACATGAAAATGACTAGTGTATTAATCTTATACCCAGCTAAACTATCACAGGTTGTCTCTTAGTCTGAAAAACTAGAATCAAGATAGACAAGAAACACAAAGTTACCGTGCATTACTGAAATGCCCATTCGTTCAGCCCAGTAGTATTCCCTGAGCACCAACTGCCTGACAGCCACTTCTCAGTATCTACGAAGGCAAAAAAGCAAAATTACACATCAGATATGATTAAGTGCTCACAGAAAAACAGAGTGGAGTAAGGAGGATGCTTTCTTATGTGAAGGCCAGGGAAACAGCTCTGGTAAGCTGTCATCTCAGAGACCTGAGGGAAGGGAGGGTTTTGCAGAAGGCAGCTGAAGGAAGTCTTGTAGGCTGATGGAACCATCACTACAAAAGCTCTTTATCTGTATTCAGGGACAGGAGAGCCACTCTGTCTAGAGCAGAAGCAGCCAGAGGGAAATGGTAGCAAATGAACCCGGAAGGATGGGCATAGGAGTGAGGATGCAGGCAGATCCTGCAAAGCCTTATCCATTGTGAGCATTTTATGTCTGTATGAGAAAATGCAGATTTACAAGGTTTGGCTTCCCTCCAAATAAGAGGGTCCATATAAAAAGTAAATTCTAAGTAACATTTTCAAAGGCTCTTCCTTGCTGTTGCATGGAGAGCAAACTACTGGGGGACAAGAGCTACAGCAGCGTCCAGTGGTGATACTTTCCCAATATTCCAAGGAACAGGGACAGCTCCCACCTATGGAAACAATGGGAATGGCAATGCTGGGTTCTTTTCAAGGGGGAGGCCAGCTGTTCTGGTCTGTACTGTTATGAGAGCTGGTGAACAAAGAGGAGGATCAATGCCTCCAACGGTTCTGGCTGGCTTACTGAAAAGGAACATAGTCACTTAGAGGTAGACAGTGTGAAAGGTGTCAGGAAAGGGCGGCTAGTAGTGGGAATATAAGAAGTCAGGTCTAGAGCTGTTAAATATGAGTGCTTATTACATAGCCGAATGAACATGTGGAACACGTCAGGACCTCCTGTTGACTCCTTGTCAAATGTTCCATGCTCTGATTTCACCTATGTTGCCCTGGTAAACACACTGGCCTAAATCAGCTTAGGGGAACAGAGGGTTTATTTTGTTTACAATCCAGGTTATAGTCCATCATTGGGAGAAGGCGGGGCAGGAACTCAAGCACAAACCTGAAGGCAGGCCTGCTTGCTGTCCTGCAGAGAATCACTCCTGGCCAAGGAGCTGACTCACGGTCAAGCAAAGCACAACAGACATCATGGAGGAAGGGTGCCTGCTCGTCTGTGCAGGCTGAGCGGAACTTCCTATTCAGTCCAGAGCCACCTGCCCAGGCGGTTTAGTTACTCTTCCTCCTATTCAGTCCAGAGCCACCTGCCCAGGCGGCTTAGTTACTCTTCTCTTGCTATGAAGAGGCACCATGGCCACAGCAGCTCTTACAAAATAAAGTATTTAATTGGGACTGGCTTACAGTTTCGGAGGTTTGGTCAGTTATCTTCATGGTGGGAAGCACGGAGGCATGCAAACAGGAGAAGTAGCTGAAGAGTTCTACATCCAGATCCACAATCAGCAGGAAGAGAGGCACCAAGCCTGGCTTGGGCTTTTGAAACCTCAAAAAATACCACCAACCCTGTGACACTCTTACTCCAACAAAGCTGTATCTCCTCCAACAAGGCCACACCTCCTATTCCTTCTCAAGTTGTGCCACTCCCTAATGACTAAGCAAGCCCCCAAATGTATGAGCCTATGGGGGTGGGGTCACTCTTATTCAAGCTACCAAACCAAACCAGGGGTGGTGCTGCTCACAGAGGGCTGGGCCCTCCTGTTATCAATTAACAATCAAGAAAATCCCCCAGAGACATGCCTAATCCAGACAATTTTTCAAATAACTCTGAGTTAAAGCCATCCAGGAATAACTGTATTTTACATGTTCTTATCTTCATGATATATTTTCAAAGAGGCAATAATCAAATTATCACAATAACTTATAACTTCACCAACTGAATAATGAATTGCATTGTTTGAAAAGATCCAATTACATCAACATTGAATTTAAATGAAAGCTCTAAAAACCATAGAATCTATAAATATTAAAAAACGTGAACTAAGCTAATCTAAAAATATGAAAATGAAAAGGCAATTATATTCTATTAGTAATAAACTAACTCAAATATACACAGAAAAGTAAGACTATCCATAGCAAAAGAAGCTATGGCATCTAAAGTGAATCACACAAACGAAACCCATCTTTATACTTTTATGCAAGCCTTTGTTAAGACCATTTAACCTGCAAACCTATAGCCAAACCTCCCAACCTATAGCCTTTCAGAGTAGACTTGGGAACCTGGAATTGAACACCTTTCTAACAGACTGCCCTTTATATTGAATAAGAAACTTCCCCAAGTATTTGAGAGTAAAATGTTTTAAGAGAAGGCCAGGCATGATGGTACACACCTTTAATCCCAGCACTTGTTAGGTAGAGACAGGTGGATCTTTGTGAGTTCAAGGTCGGCCGGATCTACATGAATTTCAGTACAGCCAGAGCTAAAATAGTGAGTCCTGTCTCAACCTCCCACCCCACCAAAAAAGAATCCTTTCTTAATTCAGTCATATTGGTTAATCATGTACATGTCCACCTGCCAGGCATGAAATTGTCATGTTCTTTCAGATTTTTGATGTTAATACAGCAAACACTGTCATGCTGAGCTGCAGATAGCTTGCACGTAAATGGACTTACGTTGTCTGAGATTTAGCACTTCCTCTTTCTGTTCCAGGATTACATGTCTTGGCGACCATGGAAAAGATCCCATTTGAGAGCGCTTTCAGAAGGCCAAACGCTGACTTCACCACCAACAACTTCACTACGCAGTATTGGAATGCAGTCAGCCACCGGGCCCCTGCCATCATCTACGACTTCTACCTGAGGCTTACGGGAAGGAAACCCAGGTGAGAAGTTGGGACAGTGGAACCCAAAGTCTCCGTCCCTCCCTACAGCTGAGGATGGGAGGAACAGATGTCTCACACACACGACACTAGTGACAGCACTGAATGCTTGCTGCGTGGCCATCCTGCTGCAAGGACTCAAGATGATTCCATTTTCATCTTCACACCTTCACCACCGAAAGACACGTGAAGGGCAGAACCTGCACATTAACGGCAAGGAGGTGCAGAAAGCCACCCACAGCCACTACTACAAACTAGGTGTCGCCACCCAGCGGTGACAAAAGTAAACCCCTGGCTACCTACACAACAAACTCAAAAGGAAGAAACCCCTGAGGTCACACTCCCTTAGCAGTCCCCTTCTGAGGTGGAAGGCCCTTCTGGCACATGTAGCATCCTCTGGGCTAGCACAAAAAACAATGTCAACACAGAGGCCGTGTGGCTCACCTAGCTTCTCTCATCCACGTAAGGAAGCATTGTGACTGTGGAAAACATCTGAGTTTTACCCAATACAGACGGGACAAGAAGGAAAACACAGGCAGAAATTCTAAGCCCATCAAAATAGGCCAGGTTGAAGGGTTAGGAAGACTTGGATAACGCAAGGTTAGGCAAATAAGAGAAAAACACAAGATAAAAAAAGTCAATATGCATTTTGTTTGGGAGAAACTAAACCACACGGGTTCATATCCTAAGATCTGGGGTGCTGTTTTGTTTTACAAATTTAAGAACATGTAGTTATAAAGAAATTAGCTTTCTAAAGATCTGCCTCAATGTTAAGACAAAACAGCAATCCTTTTAGGCAACTAACTTGCTCAGTTTCGAGATGTCTGATGAGAAAGGAATGGGTGTCTGGGAGAAGGGGTTGTAAAAGGTCTGACAGACACTGTTAGACACTGTCTTTCCTTTAACAGGATCAGCAGGAAAGTGGGGAGGAGGAATGGTAACTCTAACTCCCTTTTAGGACAAGTAGACTTAAGAGAGAATGAGCAATTTGTTAGATTTATTGCTAGTAGTCACTCGCATGAAGGGATAAGGTACTTTACAAAAGATTAACGAGAAGCTTAATGGTGGAAACTCTTACTGTTGTTAACCAGCCAAAGGAGAGATGTGACCCACAAAGTGAATAATAATAATAATAATAATAATAATAATAATAATAATAATAATAATCTGGGGAACTGGAGAAAAGACTGTTTTACTAACTAGGTCTCAGTGAGTAGCCCAGGCTGATCCTGATTGCATGTGTCTTCCTGCCTCGGCCTCCCTGGTGCTGGCATCACTGGCATCAGCCCATCAGGGCTTGCACCCTTCCCTGTGAAGGGAGAGGCAGAGGGCAGGATGCACTGCACCAGCTATGTGGTCTCTCCCTCAGGATGCTGAAGCTCATGAACCGCCTCCTGAGGACCATCTCCATGCTGGAGTATTTCATCAACCACAGTTGGGAATGGAGCACAAACAACACAGAGATGCTTCTGTCAGAGCTGAGCCCTGAAGATCAGAGAGTAAGTGCAGCTCTGACTCTGGGGACGCACAACTGTGTGACCAGTAATGCGGATAGGGAAGTGCAGAGTGCACTCTTTTCCTAAAGAAACCAGACAGTGTTGGCATTCGCGGGAAACAAGTTTAGTGCAGCTAGAACTAGGTTGTGGATTGTGATTAGACCTTCACTGCTGCTGGGTAGTGGCATGTTGGAGGTTGAAGCAGGTGGGTCCTGAGGCTCACTGGCCAGCAAAGCTAGCCCTACCAACGAGCTCCTGGTATCCACAGAGCAAGGCGAGCGCTCAGCAGTGCAAAGCTCGTAACATCTTTCACCGCGCAGGTATTCAACTTTGACGTGCGACAGTTGAACTGGCTCGAATACATTGAAAATTACGTTTTGGGGGTTAAGAAGTATCTACTAAAAGAGGACCTGGCTGGTATCCCCAAAGCAAAGCAACATCTAAAAAGGTAGGGACATTCCTTGGTGTGTGTGTGCTTGTGTGTTATTATGGTTGACTGACTTCACACTGGGCTGTATGTGTGTGTGCGTGCACGCGTGCACGCATGTGTGTTATGGTTGACTGACTTTACACTGGGTTGTATATGTGAATTAAATCACACCACATTTATGCAGTACCCATTGTGAGGCTGGATTCACACTTAAGCATTAGAAACGATGCATTCCATACTATCCTATATATCACACACAATGTTGAATTTAGACCTCACTGCACTCCTGAAGCAATACTCTTTGTTAACTCACTAACATAAGAAGTACTTGGGGGCACAAAGAACCTAAGAATGTTGTTCACAGAAACAAGTACTAGATAGAGTCAGGCTTATGTCCAAATCTGCACCTTAGCAGTATGACCTAAGGAAGACCTAAAACACAGATCGTGCTACATAACTTGGAAAATCATGGAACTACTCTTCAATTCTTAGAACTGCTTCCTACTGCTTCTAGTCAGAATTCCTGACAAACAAGTTAATGGATTCAGGTCATGATTCCTGCAAAATCTAAGGTTTGTAGTCGAGATGATAATGAGGGAAAGAGACAGCCAGCCAAGAGTGAGGATGCCTGAAAAGCAGGCTGAATAGTTCACCACCTGCCCTCCAGCCAACGAGAGGGTGAGAGCTTTTAAAAACTGTGTTTGTGCACGGTGTATAGGGGTGCATGCTGTAGCGCAGGTGGAGGTCAGGGGGACAGCTCTGTGGAGTCAAACTCCCACCTCTGACTCTTACATGAGTTGCAACTCAAATTCCAGGCTGGCTCAAAACATGCATTTATTCACTCGGCCATCTCACGGGCCAGGGAGGATTTTCAATATTGAAAGATCAGAGTAGATTTTAAAAACATTACATTCTTCCATGAATCATGCTTGTAAAAAAAAAAAAAAAAAAAAAAAAAGAGTTCCATACAGAGTAGTAGGAAGAGTAACAAATTAGGGGAACATGATTTATTCAATAGGAAATAAGAGACGTAAAAAACAAGAACACCGAGTCATGCCACGGGCTCTAAGATCTAGGTATTTGCTGGTCACACACAGGAGCACATTTACATTTCGGGTTACACTGCTGGGTGCAGGTGCTGTCTTAACTGTGCTTTTGTTTCCGTCCCCCAGGCTCCGGAACATTCACTACCTCTTTAACACTGCCCTGTTTCTTATCATCTGGCGCCTCCTCATTGCAAGGTCTCAGATAGCTCGGAACATCTGGTTCTTCATTGTGAGCTTCTGCTATAAGTTCATCTCGTATTTTAGGGCCTCCAGCACACTCAAGATCTAAGAGCATTCCACCAGCCCACCATCTGGAACCTCAGATACCTCTCTAAGGCAGTAAACTGTGTCTTAAACTAGGAAGTAACAAGAAGCACATCCAAGCTTCCGGTCAAACTTGCCATTCTACCTTCTTTCTTACTTCTTCACTGTGTTTTTTTTTTTTTTTTTTTTTTTTTTTTTTAATTTGTTCAATGAGAGGAAAGTCAGCCTCTTAACTGCATACACTTATGAAACCCAACTTCCAGAATGTCTTGACACCACCACACTCTACACTACCACCTGCGAAGTATGAGAGCATCCCTTTTCCTATACTTAGCTTTCCCCTCCTGACAACTAATTTGTCATGGCAGAACGTGGCAGAAAAGCCTACGCAGGCTGGAGAAAGGCAGCAAGCACTAGCCAGGGAAGCAGGCTCAGTACCAAAGCAAAAGCGTCCAACCATGGTGGACAGAGGTGGTTAGCTCAACACCCTCACAATGCCATAGAAATAGCCTTCTATGTTAAACACTAGAGTTCTGGCTGAGTTGAGGAGTGGGAGATGGGAAAAGCAGACTCTTATCTGCCCTGTTTCTCACCTGTGTCCACATCTTAACCCTAAAAGGGACAAATGGTGTAGACAATTACATCCCAAACATGAACTTAATGGTACACAAGTCAACTTTATAGCTTATGACATCCCTTCGTGTAAATCTGTTTGATCATTGTCCTGAAACCCCTCTCAAGTTTGCTTCTCATCTACTGATGTTGCCAGAGCCCTTCTACTTACGTGTACTTCACTCAGGCATCAGTCAGAAAGGCTGTTGGGGAGAGGGAAGTTCCTAGACTAGAACTACAGAAACCCTCCAACCCTGGCCAAGGAGGAAAAGCAGAATTTCAAGTAAAATTGTAAGTTCTTCATGTGTGGAGTTGGGAAGAGCACATGCCTGTGGCACCAGAGACCTCTTGTCCCTCAGTCATCCCAGTCACACGTCAATGGTATAATGTACAGGGCTCAAAAACAGGAAAGTGAAGTTGTTTAAATATTTTAAATACAAACCTTTTTACATTCACAAATCCTTATACTCAGCCGTCACACCAGTTTTGCTCATATTTGAGATTTGGACTGGACTGCAGGATCTCTGCATGCAAAAAATGTGAATTATTCAAATAAGGCATCTGGGACCTAGAAAATAACCACCACAGAAATCACTGAAAACTACACACAAGCAGTTATCATGTGTATGCTTACATTCTGGGGGGAGGGGGGGGAATCAAGTGTGCCCAGTACTGAGCTCTCCTCAGTCCCATAAGGAACATGGTAGGAGAACCCTTTCTGGTACAGTTTCTGCAAGTCAGACTAAGGTCAGGGCTACTCTCCAGACAGAAAACTCAACTCTGAGATGGAACACCTGTGGGTCCCCCATGTGAGACATCTGCAAGACGCTTCTGAGTTACATGGAAGACACCAGGTACGGATACAATAAAAACAGGAACTCAAGATACAGGACTGGATTTAAAAAAAATTTTTTTTAAATATTTAGTCAATCCCAAACTCCAGGAATTGAATATTAGCTTGAACTTCTGATTGAATAAAATTCTGCATTATCAGCCAGCCTTCGGTGTTTTTTAACTGCTGACCACCTCTCCCCACAAAATAAAAAAAAAAAAGGGGGGGAAGACAGATAAACATAAACCATCTTTCCTTGCCACACACTGGTACTGCATTTGCAGGAGTGTTCTGTGGCATCCGATACAAGGCACAACTTTACCTTGCAATACTTAAACAGGAAACGTAGCTAACTAACTACGTTCTGAAAGAAGTCCCCACCATTGAGAAATCCACCCAGGATCAATTAATTACATGAATCCCAATATATGCACAGCAATGGGAGTGGGGGGGGGTCTACCTGGGTACAGAGTTAAAAGCATAAAGGTGCAATCTTGAAAAGAACTCCCGGTAAAAGGGAGGGCTGATTACAACCAGTGTCTTCTATACGTTTGAAAAAAGAATGCCAACACAAACCATTATATTTTATTCTGTTAATACAAGCTAGTGAAAACATACAAATAGAAAGTCTTGGTAAGGTCTAATGTCTACTACCCACGTCTACTCAATGACAGTGATCAGACAGCCACTAAGGCAACCGATGCTGACAGTTCAGAGAAAAAAAAAAAAAAAAAAAAAAACCTCTTACTCTCTTACTTCTGTACTCAACTAGTAACACTTCAAACTCATTTAAATAATTCACAACACTGAAACAGACAGAAAACTTCCAAATAGTATTTGTCTCAGTCACTGTTCTATTGTGAAGACACACCAAGACCAAGGCAGCTCTCATACTTAATGCTTCCTTTTATACATAGTTTCAGAGGCTCAGCCCATTATCATCATGGCAGGGAATGTGGTACAGGAGTAGGACCTGAGAGCTACACCCCGATCTGCAGGCAGAGGGGAAGGAAGAGAGCATGGGCCTGGAATGGATTTCTGAAACCTCAAAGCCCACCCCATTGACACTCCCTGCTGACTAAGCATTCAAATATGAGCTTATGGAGACCATTCTGACTGAAGCTACCACATCATTATAACACACTGAACAGAAAAGGTAAATCAGATCAACCTAGTTTCCAAAAGTGTCAATAGCTTTTAAAGCTCACAGGGCTCACATGGCTACCTTTCTGGAACCGTGGTCCTATTGTCTTGGGACACTGGTCCCTCACGTCCAGAGAAGTGTGTTTAAAAAAAAAAAAAAAAGTCACTGCCTACAATCAATCAGCTTTAAAGACATGGTTAAAGAGTTCATGAAACCAACTGGGCAATAACTGGGTTTGGATTTTATATGATGGATGACGTGTGGCTACTTCTATGGCAAATGGTGGTTACCTGGAACTAGTCTAAGCAGAACCATGTCTTCTGACGTGGAACATTTTAAGCATCTTCCTATTTAATCTGAAATAACTGTGTTCTAGGGTCAGAGATGTGAAATAGAATAATATGCACCAACTCTAGAAAAAAAATTCACTTTAACAGCAAGCAGAGCCGAAAGCAGGGCGTTCTCAGTGGCACGGCATTGCTCAACAGTTCAGGACCCCAAATTCAACACCCAACCCGACAGAGGGAAACACCCACAGCTATCCAAACCCAAGCAACTTCCACAGCCATTACCAGTGACACACATAGGCCTGCTTGGCATCAAGCCTGTATGAAAGGTATCTCTCTGCACCTTACGAGTTCTTTTAAAGCCCAGAGAAGTTACACTTAGAGGAGGTAATCTTAGGAATAGTACTAGAAGGCCCCAAACACCTGCGTGCCTTACTGACTGTAATCTCTACCAACAGTCTATAGACCCACTCATGTGAGCCAGTGTCATGTACATGGATGCTCATATCTGTGTTCCTGTTTACGTGTATATGTACCCATGTGTAGAGGTCAGTAGTCCTCTGACATTTTCCGTTTATTTTTTCACACAAGGTCTCAATGACCCTGGAGCTTTGCTGATTCAGCAAGACTCCCTGGCCTAAGCCAGGGACAGTCCAGTCTCTGCTTTCCTGGCTTTGGGATTTCAGATGTATGCCACACCAGGCTCCATTATTATTCTGGTAGTGTTATAAAGGATCTGAGAAGCCTAAACCTAAACAATAAGAGAAGCTGCAAGATTAAATGGCATGCTGAATCTTTAAGGATCTCAAGGCTCTGGATCATGTATTTCTTAAACCACTGAAAAAAATTTATCTAGGGTACAAGTGTAAACAGTTTTGAAGTAAAGGAGATACATGTCAATTTACTTCCTGGCATTTGAATTACAATACATCTATCAAAATATTACATTTTATGCATTTCAAAGTTAAGACTAAGTTGTTTCAGATGACAAAATCTGATGAAGATCAAATAGAAAGCTTTTCTGCATGTCTGATAAAAAAAAAAAAAAAGAGAAGTATCCAATACCCATCTAAGTTGTTGGATCTGCCATTCTAACACCGAGCCAGGCTATCTCAGGAGGTAGACAGTCAAGGGTTTAAACGCTTGACAGTAATATATTCACCTAGTTATTTAGTGTCTTTATAATCAAGGCATACATAGTTAAATAAATAAATAAATAAATACATTTCAGGTAAATGAGGCCTCGGACTTAAAATATTAGGATTAGAATGAACACACACATACAGACACACACACACACAAAAAAATCTTAATAAAATGAAAAAGACTACTGAATACAAACTTGGGTGTCCTGGCTCTAGAGATCCACAGGCATAGGAATGCTGTGTAACTGGCAGTTCAGTGAGGGATCTCTGGCTTGGAAAGGAAACCCTGGTGATACCAAAAGCTCTCTCCACAAATCCTAGTTGCAGTCCCATCATCACCCAGACAGATGATCAGAACTTTTATTCTTTTACTGACAAAAATGTGGCCCTGACTATTTGAATAAAAAGTCTTAACTTCTAAAATGGAAATCAATGGCAAAGAAAATTTTGCTTTAAACAAATTCCCACAGTCAATTTTAATGGAAAAGATACATCTCAGTAAGATTTTAATGCAGCGCTTAGAAAACATGGAAATAATTAAAAATAATTAAAATCTTTTAAAGACATCATAACACTGAAAGTAATTCTAAATCAATATTTTCTTCCCTGAAACCTGACTGAGCTTTCTAGCAGTAGACATGGAAAAGGAACATTCAGTCTCAAAAGACCAACATTCCAGTTCTCACAACATTCTTAGGAGAGATGTTCGGTTTTTATCCCAACTATAAAATGTAAGGGAAAAACAAGACCAAACAAAGAAAAAAACCACAAAGAAACAAAACCTCAGAGAAGATTCATTCATTATTTGAAATTCCCTGAATTACTTTTTAAAATTTTAAAACAATATTACACTATTAGTTAACCTGTTAATTCTTAATACTGTGTGTTTTAATCAAAAATTTTTTATTTTCTACAAAATTCCATTTCGTATACCTTACTGCTGTCTTGTTGCTATCTTCTCTGCCTGATGGCCTACCCTCTTTCAAGGAAGCATTTTTGTTTTCTGTTTTTATTCTGTAAAGACGTTCACTTGAAAACCCACCAATCTGTGACAGGCCACACTCTAAGCCACCACTGTCAGTGTAGCCCTGTGTCTCACAGGGATGGAAACCCAGTCTTTTCTGCAATGATTTCGCCCCCGGGGATTACTGATGCTTCTGCCCTTAAGGATCCCAAGAGGATTCAGCAGTTTTTAACAGCACCTGCAATGGCAGGGCTCCCTAGTTATTTTAGCCTCATCATTTCTGCCCCAGCCCCGAAGGCAGCACATTGTCCCTGCTCAGACCTGGCCCTGTCCTGTACAGACACTGCCTCGCCAGCCTGAAGCGACCCTGTTTTCCCCTCCTGACAGAAATAGCATACTTTAGTTTCCCTCAATATTTGACAAGTTAGTAACTTCACCCTTTTAAACTGAGCTTTCTTCTCCCTGCAGTGTCCCATGTACAAGCTGTGAGTGATACCTGTTACACATCACAGCACTTACATAGCTGCCCTTGGGAAACGTCAACTTAATCTTCCAAGAATCAAGTGTTGACAGCCAGGGGGTCACCAACTAGAGTTCAAAGGAAAGCAGTCACCCTTATCAGAACCCAGTACCGGACAACACAGTCTTGTCAATATGGCTCAACATTAATATGGCTGTAACACAAGGCCAGTCCCTGTTTCCTTTATTAACCATGTGAGCGGACTAGCGTATTTTTAAAGTCTAGACTACTTTTCCACATGTTTTACACATTTTATTCTGACATCTTTTAAAAACAAAAGGACGCACGCACGTTTGCATTATCAATGCCCTTTTCTTTAAAAGTGGTTTCCCTTCCATCCTCTAGGCTGTGCTCTCCAAGCTGTCCGTTTGCTGGGAGAGAATCTCAGAGGCGCTGTCTTCACCTGGCACTCCGGCTGGGCTGCCTTTCCCGTTAGCTGCATAATTTCTTCTAGAACATTTGTAACAGACACAACACATACAGGACAGCTTCAGTTTGTTTTTCCCCTTGGCTTTTTTTTCCTTTTTTTTTTTTTTCCTTTTTTTTAAATAAGTATGTTTCCAGGTTCTCATATTTTCTTTTCTTTGAATATATTGCACATTTTATTATTAGAAAAAAATTTGTTTCAGGCAAAAAGTTTTTCTCCACCCAAGAGGTGCTAATGTGTATTATTTTCTAAAAGAGGTAAGTGGTTGTCTGTGTGGCCATCTTCAAAGGGGACCTAGGGGGAAGAAGACCAGAGTGTTAGTTCTACTCTGTGTGATCTCTCTGAACACAAGATCACGAGGCTTTGTGGGGCAATCCTTTCCACGTACACTTAAGGAAGGATGATAACATGACAGAGACAAGTGCAGGGTGCAGTATCACTTACAGAATGGACGGGCTTGTAGGATCCAAGTCTGAAACGACAGCAAATTATTTCCACTATAAATTTTCCAATTCCATGTAACATGCCTGTAATGAGTAAAATAAGTTAAAATTTTTAACTAAACTGCTTCTGAAATTTCTAATTAGAATAAAATACTGCAGATAACTGTAGAGAAATAGGTCATGGAAGGCAGCAAAGCAGCCTGCAGTTGCCTCTGAGGCTACTCGAGAGGGCTAAATTTAAAAACAAATACATGTTTTATCAAAATCAAAGGTCACACACACACCTTTTCAAGACTTTCTCATATAACTTTGCAATAAAGAACTAAAATAAAGCACAATAGGAACTGTGTAAGAAAAACTGTTCACTTGTTTTAGAAATATGAATCAAAATAACAGTGAGTTCCAAGGACAAAACTTTCTTACTCAGAGTAACCAAAGGCTGAAAATAGATCTCTAAAGATCCCAGAATCTTGGGGAAAAACCAAAAGCATTTCTGATTTAATCAAAATGCAACAAAATATGGCTTCATATAGTATAGAGGCAGAGACATTTAAATCAAGGGAGCCTACATCTGTGAAGCTTTCTGGGCATTTTCTCATTTAGCCCTACAGCATACTGACAAACCAGAAATTACATTTCAGAAAAGATAAGTTACTGATGCACAGATTAAGATACACAGGACAAGGTTAAATACGGGTTAATTTTATTTGGGGAGAAGTTACTTACATAGGAAACCCTTGACCAGCAAGTTCCTGCTCCAAAGATCCACACCCAGGCTGCTCTCTGTGACCCGACCAGAACCAAGAGAGCAAGCAGGGGTCTGGGACCCCAGACATAGCCTTCCCCCATCACGTCAGCACCTGTGACCATGCCCATTTGGGCGTGATCAATGCAACAGGTGTGGGCGGGGTGGATACTATCTAAGGATTACCAAGTCACTGGCAGAACACAGACTCCATTCTAGCTGTGTCTGTGATTAACACCCAGGACCTGCGTGGCTTACCACATAATCTTCCTTACATTATTCCATGAAATAGGTGTGCTTATAGGATAGGAGATATATTTTAGAGCTTTAGAATTAAGTCTCCAAATATTAAAACATGAAAACATGTATATTTCTTGCTTTCTTTTAATAGAGGTGCCTTGAGAAAGCTATGGCACACTACATCTTAAGTTGAGAAACCAGATAAAGCAGGGCATGTCCACTCATGCCTACAATCCCAGCAAGAAACACACGGTAAGAGCTTATCTCAAACAAAACAACATAAAAGGAAATTAGGCAAATAAATGAATGTTAACCTGTTGTTGAAAAGATTCCTCCAATAATACCACAGAGTCTTACAAAAAACTGCCAGAAAGGCATGTGTTCCTCAGTGACCGTCACCATGAGAGAACTGAGGTCATATTTCATAAATATTCCAGAGATTCCATGGCTGCCTGCAGCATGGTTAATGATGCGCTCCTGAGGGGGAGGGAGAGGGAAGAAACACGTCATGTGGGGACTCACACACATGTACAGTGTACATCACACCCTACTTTCCTCAGGGTTTACTGCCCTAGCTTTAAGCTCTTTAGAGACAACTACCAGTGTTCTTGTAGGGTAGACTTTTCAAAGAATCACTTCGATCCTGGCATGGTGTTGCACATCTGTAATCCCACACTATGAAGCAAACGATGGGGGACATGCATCCAAGAGCAAAGCACTGTTTCAAAAAGAAAACAGAACCCAGAACTGAACTATTCTTACCTATGCTTAGAAATGGTCATCTTAAAACACAGCAGTTTATCCATGAACTTACAACTAACCAAGCAAGAAAAGCCAAGCTTATACTGCAATGTGCTTTTGTATTTCTTTGCCAAGTACTTCTTGTCATTTTACTTCTACCAAGGTGAAATTAAACTGCAAGCGTTAGAAACACATACAGTTTGGCCAAAAGCCCCTCCCTTATTACTAACATGGAGAACCTTATAGATAAGTCACAATGGTTTCCAGCAATGAATTCATACAAACACTCAGAAGTTTTCAGTATTATATCGAAGTAATGGAAATCCTGTGACTACATACAATAAAGCTAGTTATCATGGGGATCAGGGGATCGAATAACCCTGAAGACTAGGAATATTTAAACTGGGCTTCCAAAACTGGCAGTGGCCAGTTCCTCTCCTACCCTGCACTATAAAACTCAATACAATGATTAATGCTTTAGTCACCTATAGCAAACACCCCTTACCCATGGGTTTCCTTCTTTCTGATTTTATTTTGCATTTTCAAATATATCCTGGAGATAATTTCACATTCATCCCTCCTTTTATAATTGCATGTCCTGCTGGATAGTTTATAACTTGAGCTGTTTCTAGTCTATTATTATAGGAACACAATGAACAACCTTATACATGCAATATTTTTTCCCCCACTGTGTCTTGGAAAGGGCTTTCTAACATAGGGATAGCTGTAACAGAAGCAGTAAACCTAAACACTTGCTTGCTTTGCCCCAAATCCTTGCCAACCTATACAATGTTTCCCAGGTGTCTGTCAATACTGCTGGAGAGAAACATCTTCCTACCCTTGTAGAAAAGTTGAAGAATATAACACAGACTTACCTAGTTACTATGTACGTGTGTGTGTGTACACACACACACACATACATACACCCCCCTATACATATGTATAAATATACACCTGTGTTTGCTCCTTAAACCATGTGAAACTTAACACTTGCCCTCTGAAATAACGTAATTCAGTCAGGAGAACCCTACTGTCACTAAGGCCTTGGTTATGATCATTTGTAGCACTATCACATGGAAGATGGAGCGGAAGGCTCTCATATGCATGGTATTCATCTGGGCACTAGCTTTTGATTATTAGCACTTTCCAACTCAATTTATAAGGAAATACAACCTAGAACAGACACTGTTCAAACCTGCTCTTGCTCTCCATGAAACCACTGAGACCCATCTACCTGAGGCTGCACTGAGGAACTATGAAAGCATAGAGTGTGCACATTCAGGGAAGAACACTTAAGACAAATAATAAATAAACCAGAAAACCTGAAAGGCAGATTAGGAGCTGCCTATATTGATAGAGAATATTACAAATCAAAATCCATAAAGTAACTTCTGTCATCACAGTTTGCGATAGACACTGCTAACACTTTCTAAAAATCTTAATTCTAGAACACACACATTGACACCCACTTCTGATACATTTTTGCTTAAAATGCTAATGCATTTCAAAACTTCTAATTCATTTAAAAACTTTCATAAATTTTTATATGGAGGAAGGTACCTACTAAATTTCCAGTCTATCTTGAAGTTATGGACTATAAAAAAATCCTTCCCTCAATCATCTTAGCAACTAGGGTCCACTCACCCTTTCTGTCACAGAGAATTGGTGAGTGTCCGCTGAAATCTTGTATGTGTGTAGCTTTGTTGGCACAACTGTAATGAAATATTGGAACATCTGGTTGTCTATAATAAAAACAAAATATGCCTTCTCATCAATCCGGCAGCAACAGAACACTATCAAATTACTAAGTATGACAAACTTGAATCAGTATATAACGGGTAAACAGTTTTAAAATAAAGAAAAGCTGGTGGAAACAATATATTTGGTGAAACTAAGTCCTACTTAAGACACAAGAAGTGTGGGGTGCCTGTGCTTGATTTAGTATGTATTAAATAATTTTAAGAACTGGCCACCTCCTGTGCTCAGGCAAGACCACCGGAAGAGAAACTGGGACGCAAGCACAGGCATCTACCCTTCGACATACAGTCGGCCCCACCTCTGGGATCTGCTGGGATAAGGGTGGCAGAGACTGTGGGAATGTGGGAATGACCAACCAATGCCTGGTCCAGCCTGAGACACGCGCCAAGACAGTGAGCCCATCTGACACTGCCTACAGCAATGGACCAAGAGACCCAGCAAAGAACCCAAACAGACGAGAAAAAGCCAATACAATGACGCCTAACGATACTCTGCTGTACTCATAGATTGATGACAACTGTGTAGCTTGCTCTTCTTGTGGGACTCCTAACAGTAGGAGCAATGATTGTCTCTCTTTTGCTGACTTTTGGGACCTTTTCCTCATACAAGGCAAGTGGCTTGGTCTTACATCTGGTAAAACAAAGCCCCAGTTAAAGACACAGGAGTTGTGCAGGTGCCACATGCTATAGTTCAGGCACTGACAACCATGCATGGTTGACAGCATGGTTGACGAAACAAGCTGCTCAGTGACTGCTATCCATTCAAAGGGCCATTTTTAGGGCCACCACCAGGCACCAACAGGATTAATACAAGTTACAAACAAAAAGCAAACTCACACTCACATGGTAACATAAGCCTGCAGTCCCAGGAGGACTGCTGCCAGTCCAAGGCCAGCTTGGGCTATGGTGCTACTTCCAGGGCAGCCTGATCTAAATAACAACAAAGCCACCTGACAACTAAGAAGCACTTTCACTTGGAGTAGAGGCTTAAAAACAAACATACATGGCTGCTGTGACATCATACACCTGGCTATACACACAGCACCACCCACTCTGGAGTAAGTAGGTTTCTTGTGTTGGTGACACTCTGCATGGAGCTTCCTACAAAAATCACACAGCGTTTTAGAGCTATGAACCCCTCTCTGGTTACTGTGGAAAGGCCAGTTACACCATTATCAACACATCAACACCCCTGCCCTTGGATCTCTCCAGTCTGCTGTAGGACTTACTCTTTAAGACTCAAATCCCATGCACTTCTGCCACATACCCAGCTACCTTCACAAGGGTGATTGATAGGCGGAGTGAAAGCACATCAGCGTTAGGGTTTTAAGAGCAATTGCCTGCATGTAAATTCTTTTTTCTGTTGGTCTTTTTTTTTTTTTGAGACAAGGTTTCTCTGTCTCAGGTTGTCCTGAACTCGCTCTGTAGACCAGGCTGGCCTCAAACTCACAAAAGTCTGCCTGCCTCTGCCTCCCCAGTGCTGAGATTAAAGGCGTGCGCCAATGCCTGGCTCCTGCATGTAAACTCTATGACCAATTATTAAATACTTACGATCCACAGCAATCTTTTCAGTTCCATCCAGAGGGTTAATGATTCCCGGAACAAGCTCTCCAAAAGATAAATGGTCTATTCTATGAGAAAAGTTGTAAGCTAAGAGAAAAGATACAGGTGGAGAAATCACGTTACTCTTTAGAAACGTGTCTTGCTACAGATGGTTTTATATTCTTGCCAACTCCAAAATTATCTAAAATTTAATGTTTAGTAAATTTAATACGTCTAACATGTTAAGAAAAATACATGAGAAATGTACTATAAGCAAATTCTGATAAAATGTTGCCTCAAACCTTACCATTAATAAAGTTTCTTTTGTTTTTTGAGACAAGGTTTCTGTGTGGCCCTAGTTGTACATAACTGAACTCACTCTGTAAACCAGGCTGGCTTCAAACCTGCCTCTGCCTCCTGAGTGCTGGGATTAAAGACGTGTGCCACCACTGCCCAGCTTTATACAAATTTCTATTAAATGTCTTATTTAATCCTCATGTCCAAGACATACAACTTTCTTGACTCTAAACATCTTACAGAAACAAGACCATGCCATTTGAACACCTAGGATGGTTATCAGTCAGATAATGAAAAGTAATCACAGATATTTTTAATATATACCATTACTACATCCAACTGACTTTTATAAAATTTGTTTTGTTCTAAAAGCAAAGTTAAGAAGAAAGTCTTTCAAGCCAGACATTCGAGGCCAGCCTGGTCTACAGAGAGATCCAGGCCTGGCTCCAAAGCAATACAGAGAAACCCTGTCTAGAAAAAACAAAACAAAAGTTTTGCTTGGCACAGTGGTACAGCGTGTAATCCCAGCATGTGGAAGGTAGATGGAAGAGGATCAGGTGTTCTGGGTCACTAGAGGCTCACCTGAGGCTACCTGTAGTCTTACGCCAATGAGGCCACATACAAATGTTTCATTTAATCCCACTCTCCAAAAACACTTAAGTTTGATGATAATCATTATATCAAAGGAAGTGTTAGAGTGTGTACAGGTAGGCAGACATGTGTGGGAACATGCCAGTATCTGGATCTACAAACTGAGGTAAACTTCAGACACTGTCTTTGTTATTGGACATGTACAGAATGACACCAAGCACTCCTGAGTTCCCCCCTAACTACAGGGACTTCTGGACATTAGAAGTAATACATTTAATATTTTTTTTCTCCTCTAGATGGATATCAAGTTTTTATTTCTTTTTGGTTATCAATATTTAAACAGTTTACTTTTTTTTTTTTTTTTTTGGTTTTTACATTCTGTGACAGGGTCCTGCCATTCACTGGCATGATACTCACTATACAGCACAGACAAATTTCAAATTCACAGCAAACCAACCCCATGCTTAATCCTCCCAAGTACTAGGGTTACAGTTGCTAACATTTTTATTTACTTATTTTTGAGACTGAGTCTCACTATGTGGTCCTGACTGGCCTGGAACTCATAGACATCCACCTGCGTCTATCTTGGGATTGGCTAGCATTAAAGGCAGAAGGTGTGTGTAAAGCTCTACCCATGTGTTTGAACTTAAACAAATGAAAAACACACACACAAATTTAACTTCTTTAAAAACTTTTCTACACTAAAACAAAATCTCAGAAATTGCTCACAATCATGGTTGACAAGTGCTGCCAAATGTGCATGCCCTCGAGGATGTGGGATTGCCCTGAAAGGAGAAAAAACAAACATAACTAACAAGAAGGCCAGCCTTCCGTCGCTCAGCAGCTTGTATTGCAGAGTAGTAGTGGTGCATCTGACCCACAGGTAAGCCCTCTCAGCAATGTGATGAGCTGAGGGCTGCAAGAAGCCAAATGGAAACATGTTATTTATGAGCCAAGATGATAGAAAGCAAGGGTATTACTTGGTCACATAACAAGAACACCATTTCATAAACAATTATCAATGAAACATAAAACCCCAATAACTGAGTTTACTCTGTAGCTCACATGTGCTTTCCAGGGAAACTTCTTTGCTCGCTGAGGTTTAAAGTTCCTATTCCTAATTTCAAAAATGACCTCAAATTTGTCTGGCAATGACCTAAAACATTTCACATTCCCTCTCTGAAAACACAAATCCATAAGCACATTTCAACTGAGGCTATTCATTGCCTTGAATGACTTTCCAGAGTACTGTTAGAGTCTTCTCTTTATAGTTTGTATCACAGACCAGTAATTCTCAACTTAAGGCAGAATTCTTTGTTGCACAACAGATTTTTAAAACTTCCTTTGTACTTGCCCTGTTGTCTGACAACTGAAACCACAGTCCGAACTGACACATCAAGGTATGAGACTGGAGGTCTTGCAAATCAGTCTGCTGGAGCCACTCAGAACCACCAGCACCACACCACCAGAACCACCACCACAACCTCAACCAGAACCACCAGCACCACCACAACCAGAACCACCAGCACCACCACCACCAGAACCACCACCACCACAACCTCAACCAGAACCACCACCACCAGCACCACAACCAGCACCACCACAAGCAGCAATGTTGCCACAACACTAGTTTTATACATAAATACTGTTTTCCCTGATCACTTTAGGTTAATTTATTACAAAACATTTTATCAAATGTTCACAAAACTTAATTTCCCAGCACTGAGCAAAAACAACAATAAAAAACTGCAAGAGGGTGTCGTGCCCTGTGAGCCATCAGTGGGTGCAGGGAAAGGAACTCTTTCTCTGTGACAGCAGCAGGTGGCATTCCTTACCCTGGGCATGCCTTCAGACCTATCTTGCTTCTTGACTGACTACTGGACACTGGGCTCAGTGTCCTCAGTGGCTGAAGGACTTTCTCACTGAAAGCTAACAGTCCAAGGCCAAAGGCCAAGCTGCTTTCATGAATATATTTCTTCAATTGATGCAATCAAATAAACTTTATTAACTTAGACGGACAAGAGCTTCCTTTCTTGGCTCACCAGTGATACACAGACCCTTGACCGTAACTTCATCCTCACAGAGAAATTCTACTAGACATTTTACTTTGAACTTTCTAATTTCCTGACCACCATTTTTCTATGGAGGTGGAACTATTGTGATGAGTGCTTGGTTAGTCTATTAGTATCAACATACACTGTGTTCTCTAGATGTAGTCATGTGATACATTACAGTGTATCACAATATTCTGTAGCCATGTTAGATGGTGTTTAAAAGTGTGACAACTGGAGCATGTATTTCTATGGTTTTTACATGACAATATAATAACTAAGGGCAACTAAGAACAAGCCACTGGCAACTGCCCTGTGGTGCACCAAGCCATCCTGCCAGGCACTGAGACCATCACAGAGTCAACTGCTCCACCCTCAATGACACTGCAATGCAGAAGAGGTCCTGGGGAGTGAGCCAGGATCTCAACTTGTAACTGGCTGGCATGGAACTCACTATGAAGACCAGGCTGACCTCAAACACAAAGCATTGAAATTAAAAGTGTATGCCACCAGGCCCAGTTTTAAACTTCACTTTTGAATGCAATTCTGAACTTCTCTCATTAACAAAAAAGGCAGTGACTGTATCTGGAATCCACGCTGTCATCTACTTACTTATGATAGGCCTTTGCTCTCTCTCTCAAGTTTAGCCTATTCTTTATTCTTTTGGTTCTACTAAGAATAATGACTGTCCTTTCCTGTTCTTGGTTTACAAGTGAAACGTTAAAACATCACTGTGTAGATTACCACACACTATTCCTTATTTGTGCCTTACCCAATTTCAGCAACTAAGACTCTCAAAATAAAAAAGGTCCATCATGTGCCCATCTTTCCTGATTCGTAGCAACAACACTGCCAAGTTCTAGTGCACCCCAACAAGTCTTAACTCGTGTTTACCTAGTTTGAAGAGGCAGTGTAATGGAAAAGCACTACCATCCAATGCAGAGCACGTGCCGATTATACGGACTGTATAGCTGCCCCTGGCAGCTCCCGTGCCACCGTGGTTGAGTGCACTGAACACTACAGCCATGGGTAACCCCTGCCCCACTGACACCATCACGTGTGTTCCTACTGTAGGCTTCAAATCCAGACAGGAATTCTTCTAAATAATGAGATTATAAACATAGTCTCTCACAACCCAAGGCCCATCGGGAACTTAGAATTGTTTTAGACTATGTCCTCCCCTTTCTGTTACGAAACATAAATTGAAATTTTATGGATTATCAGCATACGCAAGCACCTCCCTTCAAAATCACATGTTAAAAAGTCAAATTTAGTTACCGCAATGCAGATGACACCTGTTAAAAATGCTTCAATGTTCTGGATTGTTTTCTGAAATGTTACCTAACCCATCAGATGGGACCTAACAGAGAAGGAGAACAGTTCTGAACCTCAGTCAGACTGAAGAAAGGGTTTTTGATTGTGGCACTTACTGGTGTACTGTCATCCATGAACCAAAGACAGGAAACAAAACACCCTGAAGAGAATCACATCTCACACAAAAAACTCTCAGGTGGCCTCTGAGACAATGCACACATAAAACTACCGACCTGAACCTCAAGTCTGTTCAGCCACATAGAGGACCCTGGCTTGCTTCAACATGACGGGAACTCAGGGAAGACTCACTATCCTGTGCTGTTCAGTGTTCAAAACCACCCTACCAACAGACCCACCCACCATCGTCTCAGCGGCCCGCACATGTTTTCCCCAGTCACAACTCTATGCCTAAATGCCAAGATTATGCCTCTTCCTTGTGCATTCTGGTACGCACATTTCTAAGCATGTTCAGGTCCTTTGAGCTCTCCTCTGATGTACAGCTAGGACTGCCACTGCACTCAACAGGTAACAGGATCACCATTGAGCCTGAAATCTAACGGGGAAAAAAAAAAAAAAAAACCCCTACTGGAGTTTATGAGAGGGTTCTGTTATATACAGCGTAAGCTGTCACCTGCTGAAAGGAATTAACAACAATAAAATACAGGCCATAATGCAGCAGCTCATACTACACTTTCTTCTGGACTAGGGCACTGCTCACAAGGAGAGCTTAATGAGCCTTATCATCGTGAGCTGCCTCAAAGGCCAAGGCTTCAAAGCCCCTAGGACCGTCCACGGTAAAGGAGCCCTGAACCGTGGCCAAACAACCAAGTCTGAATTTACAGGAGAAAAGCACAACAAAGAAAAAACATTTTTTGATCTGATCCTTATAAGCAATAGGTCTTTCCTGATTTAAAAAAAAAATTTAATGTTCTCTCTATAAACATACAAAAAAAAAAAAAACCCAAAGCCATGCTTCGAGCAGATTCTTTTCTGTGGCATGTCCTCCTCTATATATGAATTCCTAACTCCCCACACAATTCCAAAGTTTCCTCATGAAGCCTCTGCTGATTTGTAGACTACGTTACATAATTTTTCTTATCAGCTATAAATCTCGTCTACAGCCTTAATACAACTACAGTTAAGTAATAACTAATGTATTTACTGGTCAAAGTTTGAATGTTCTTGTAGGACTTGAGCACACACAAGAGCAAAGGCTTCCTTTCTCCTTCTCACTGTCTGACCGAGTCTCCAGGCTGGTACTCCGCACACAGCGAGTACTCACACATCACACACGGCTGAGATAGTGCAAAGCTCATCAGCTCTCCCTGGAAGGAGGCCGCTGGGAAGTGGACGTTTACCCATGGTGAAATCTACCAAGAGCATTTTGTGATGCTGGATTGTATTCAGAAGGATGAGCGACAATTTTCCTAAGCTTTTGCCTAAATTACTTTATACTACACAAAGTAACCTTTGAATTTTTCTACAGTTACTCAGGGACTGCATTTTGTTGAGAACTACCAAAAGGCTAACAAACAAAAACCTACTATCACATCAATAAATGAAGACACTGACGGATCATCTAGGGTCAGACTCTCTGGCTACAGAAGTTACCATTAGGAGGTTTTAATTCCTATTACCCACAGACAACACTTTAAGTGCCCTTTGTGGTTGTCTGTGAACTACATGGCCAGGAAAAGGTGTAATTTTAATCAAGCTCCAACCCCATCTAAAGACCCTCAGGAAGTGAAAAGAACATACTTGCCCACAGTTATGTGAAAATTCCCTGCTACTTTATTGACATATAGATGACCGTGGATTCTGCACGCATCTGGAGTCAGTGACGAATCATCTTCCCTGTAAAGCAAGACACATTCATGTGTCTCAGTGCCCATCTGACACAGAGACCATGCACTGGTGTAAAAATGGCACACAGGAAAAAGACTCCCCAAAGACAAACTCTTAGCTAGAGTCTTAAGTGTCAAGATTAGAGCAGCAGTTTAAATTTACTTAAGAGTTGCTATATAGCCCCTATATTTGAATAAACACACATCATTAAGTATCTTCAGGTCTAGCCAAAGGACTACTAAGTCCAAGGCAGGAGAACCCTGAAAATCTGACGTACTTCCCTCATGCATGTCTGGCGCTATGGTGCAGCTGGGTGGGATGAAAACCATTTTCATGATTACAACAATTCTTGTTACCTACTGATACAAGATTAAAAATAAATTCCTAACCAGTAGAATTTTACACCATACATACAAAGTAAAGTAACTTCATGAAAAGCTCAAAATCATAGGCAAGACACCCTAAATGTCTTTCGAAGAAAAAACAGCAAACCAATACTAAAATGACATCAAAGCAAATTCCTGGTAAAAACCTGAACCCTGCAGCTCCTCTCACCTTGGTGGCAGTGCCGTTGAAGCACTTTTAAAAGCACTTTTGAATATCACATCTTGAAGGGAATGCTCTTCTTGAAGCCTACTCTGAATCAGCTGCAGCATCCTAAGTGTGACAAAACAGTAAAATTCACACCAAGCTAGGATTTGCTGGAACTACAACAAGGCTTCTGACTTAGACGAACCCATGTTTTCTATAGGATTACATTCCAGAAGGAAGTTATCAGCTTTTCTCATGAGACGTGAGGTAAATGTGCAAGTAGTCGACGTGCCTATGGCAACTATTGCTCTGCTCGAGTGTCTAAGCTCGTCTTTCACACACAATTAGGAAATTTTACTTCTGTCTAGCACTGAAGTAAGTGCTATAGATATGAAAAACAAACTAAGTGCAGACCATACAGCAGGGTATTGGACTGGAGGCTGCAGATTATTGAGATACAATCCCAAGGTCTATTATAAACCAGGTCATGGCACCATTTAGTGTTTTCTTTCCCAAAAGAAGTAAACTTTATTCTACAGAGCCATTCTAAGCAGAGTATTGTAGCTAGTCTTCATGTAACTGCTAGAACACAATCAGCAGGGCTACAGAAAACAAAGTCTGCATTTAAGAAACAAGGCTGGCGGGGATGAACAGATGGCTCAGTGGCGAAGAACACTGTTTTCCAGAGCACCTGGGTTCAGTCCCCAGCACCCACACAACAAACAACCATCTGTGACTCCAGTTTCAGGAGACCCTCTTCCTGCCCGTCCAGGACACAGAACAGACATACATGCAGACACCTATACAAAGAGGCCTGTTTTGTTAACATTAAAGATCAAATTTACAGAGTAAACTTAGTTTGAAATAAACCTTAAATATAAAAAGAGAAAGCAGACATCCCAAAAGGCTTTTTTCCAGGGTTTGAAATTGTCTTCTAAAAATATTGCATTCCTAATTAAGGCAAAACAGCAACTGAGAGAGTCTGTTCCAAAAGTAAAGAACATTCTAATATGTACTTTATTAGGAGTGACAGGCCTTGCAGATCTCCCTCCATACCCTTTAGAAGCAGAAGATGTTAATTAAGAAAGATCTAGAAAGCAGATTTTACAACTAAAGACACAAACTTTGGAGCTAAACACAGAATCTGAGAACTTTCCGTCTTTTGTAAGTCTCAAAGTTCAAGTTCAGCTTAATGGATGGCAGCAGAGTTTGAGGAAACTGTGTGAGACTTGTGCTTGGAACACACCAACCAAAAGCCAAGTATGAACTCCGTATGAAGGTGTGCAGAAAGCCCAAGCATGACGGGAAGCCCGGCTCTTTACCCCTCTGCAATACTTAACAGAATTCTGGATAAAAGGAGCCATCTTGGGCCAGAAGGGAAGACTCGAGGGTTAAAAAGCTCTCTGCTCTTCCAGTACTGGGGTTCAGCTCCCTTACTCAGCCTCTTAATTATCTGGATTACAAGTGTGCATCATACACCTGACTCTCACTTTAATATTTCTGGATAAAAGTAACATTTCATCTCTAGAGAGAACTTTCTAGTAAAAGTGCTAGAAACCCAGAAAGCCCTAATAGTCACTATTTTTGTTCAACTATATTCAATTTCAATATTAAGATTCTTCCAACCAGGAAAATTGGTAATTAAAAGAAAAAGAGTCTTCAAGTACGGCAGGGATTAGAAAACAAGATGTCTTGGGATAAAAAAAACAAAACAAAACAAAACAACAAAAAAAAAATACCAGGCTGGCGGTGGTGGCACACGCCCTTAACCACAGCACTCAGGAAGCAAAGGCAGGAGGAAGATCTCTGTGAGTTGAGGCCAACCTGCTGTACAGAGCAAGTTCCAGGACAGCTAGAGCTATTACACAGAGAAACTCTGCTTAAAAAACAAACATATACATTTAAGTACATTTTTGGTAATAGCCTGAAATTAGAAAACCTTAAATATAAACCATCCTGGGAACCAAAATGGGATGGAGAAAACGCTTTCTTAGACAAACACCGGGAACTGTTTGTGTTCCAGACAGCACTCTGACTGACAGACAGACAAAAGGCTCTGACACAAAGCTCCCAGTGATGTCTCCCACCACTCATGGTTTTGCAGTTCCCAGCATGGAAAACCTTTTCCTTTATGCTGCTCATAAAATGAACCTTTTGTCTGTTTCTGAGACAGTTTCCGTATTTATCCCATGTTCTGAAACGTACTATTTAGCCCAGGAAAGAAGTGACCTTATGTCCTTCCTGGCTTCGGCCTCCCCAATGCTGGCATCATCACACCTGGCTCCAAACCAAATTCTAAACAATGTTCATATACTTTCATGGTTAAAAATTTAAGTAAAATTTTAAATAAAAACTAAAATGTATTTATGATTCAAAATATACTACAGGAAAGATTATGTATGCCTTTCTTAAGATCTGATAGTTTTTGAGGTCCTAAGAATTGTTTATATACTAAAATATTTTAAAATATGCATAGATTCCAGCAGACAAACGTGGTCTAGGTTTCTATGGTGATGACGTTGTTCACACTTTACCTCTGCCACTCTCTCTGCTGGGGTGAAAGGTCAAATACTGCCTGCAAAAAGAAGAGACTAGTCACTGACAAATAAATCCCTTGGCGTTGATGTAGATCACAAGTTTAAATGTTTTTCTGTGAACAAGAAACATAAACTTATGGGACCACTAAGAAACAATCGTGATTTAATCTGTCATGGTGTTCTCAAAGACAGCACAGAAAAACTTTACTAATGAAAACCATTTTCCTCTGTAGTCACTGACATTTACAGGAGCAAACACAAACCAATAGTCAGTCAGAAGCACAAAACGGCTATTTTAGGACTTAGAACCACTCACACTCAACCAACAAAAAATAAAAGGGCAACACTGGGAATGGGTAGGGAGATAGGATACAGCATAAGTGGGAACTCAAACACATGCAGCCCTTCCTGATAAGAAATCGTCACAAAACAAAGCCACACACCTTTGCTGAGAAAGAAACCCCGAAACTTCCCCATAAAATGAAAAACAAAACACACAAAATTAAGAACAGGAGGAAACAAAGGCCACAGGGCAAGGGAGAATGCTTGGCTGGTAAAGCAATTGCCTCACAAGCATGAAGAACTGAGTCTGATCTCGTGCAAAACAGCCAAACATGCAACATGTGTGTGTAATCCCAGCACTGACGCAGACACACACACACACAGGTGGGTCCCTGAGAGCAGCTGACTTAGCCTAAAGTTTAAGTTCCAGGACAGTGAAAGAAATCCTTGTGTCAAAGAGCATGGTGGACAGCACCTTTCCCAATGACATCATAGCTAGGCTCGGGCCTCAATATGCACGCACACGTGTAAATGAGTGCACACACAAGCTATGAAAAAAGCACTTAACATTCTGAAAATATTATAAAATGCAAATGTCTCAGTGTCGCCTGGTAACCATTTGGCTCTAACTCTGCAGATCACACTCTAATATACTGTAATAGTATCTGAATTTATAAAGCAAATTTTATTTAGTTACTCCGTGTAAATTACTATAAAACTTTGTTGGTGGAAAAACAGAGGTCAGAAGAAAGGATCAGAGTATCAATAACAAATTACTTTTCTATCAACATTTCTACTTTAGGAGTGCTTTATGATCTGAATATGAACTATCTGCCTCGGGTTTCTAAGCAAAGCCCAGGACCCCCGCTGATGGTACAACTGCGGAAGCCTGAAGAAACTCGAGGAAGGAAGTCACTGGGCTGGGGTTGACTGAGGTGTCTGACCCTGACCGCTTCCTGTCTGTCAACCGTGGAACAAAACTCCACTGTCACACATCCCAGCATCCATGATGCTCTGCCCAACTCTAAGAGGCCAAGGAACCACAGCCTGAACCCTCTGAATCTGAAAGACAAAATGAGCAGCCCCTCCCTCAAGCTGTCTGACAGGGATGTTGTCAGTGACTTAAAAGTAATGAAACAAGTGCACATCAAAGGCAAACATGTACTTTCTTGTTGTAAATCAAAGTTAATGCAGCAATCAGAACTAGTCCAGGGGTTTTTGTTTTAACCCAGTCAATGAATTTTAGTCTCCCTCCATCATTAGTCATTATTCTTCAAGTTTGCTTAGTTACAAGAAAATGAATTTAAAAACGAGCAAGTACGTAAACTACGTGCCATGAGGCCAGTGGGCCACAGGCTTTTGCTGGAGCTGTTTCAGAGCTAGTCCTGGTCAGCGAACCAGCTATGTTATGAACAGCTTGTACTTTGAAACGAATTAAGAAAGTATCAGCATCAGGAAAGGTAAATGCCAATGAGATTCCCTCACATTGTGATAAGAAAGCTACAGCTGAAATGTTTTTAAAGATTTGGGCTTGGTGGAAGCTGCATAGGTCAAAGTCCTGAGATAATCACAGAGCACAAACTCCCCTTCTCAGGTAAACACAAAAGAGCAAGGGAAGCCTGACTTGAAATGAGGAACATTAGAGGCATCCAACGGCTGGGTTCCAATCTCAAGGTTTGACATTAGGTCTAACTTTCCTCCATCACAAGTTTCTACAGAGTTTACATTACTTTTGAAAGAAAAAAATTCCAGGAAGAACTAAGAACAAATGTCTAAAGTATTTTCAGCACACATTTAAAAACCACATACATCAAACTTACGGGCTCATACGACAGACCATCTGCAGATGCCACCATGGTCTCTGCTAAATCCAGGACATCTGCTCCAACATCTGCATTAGAACAAAGTCTTTACTCTCCACACTTCAATCAAAACTACTAAGCAACTGAGATAACTTTCATTTGTTCAAAACTAGAACAGTAGACTTATGTAGCTTTTGTAGACAGTATTCTGAAATTTTAAAATGATTTTATTTTTCTCCTTGCTCTGAAAAAAGATGACATAGTAAAAAAGCTAAGGTTAATTGACTGACTAGCTTGCCAAAATTAAATAGCTTCTCAGTACTAAAAAAAAAATGTCCAGAATTATTTTAAGGATTTGAAGAAATTATAGGGTGTATCTATTATCTACTGAGACTTTAAAAAGCACCAAATAGGAAATTTTACTTGAAAGGCTAAAATTTTAATGGTATTTAAATATTCAAATATGGCATAGATTCAGGATCAGTGCTACTCAAAAATTTAATTATAATGTATTTCCTTATATCTTACAACCATTAACATTAAGAAAAGTGAAACTGAAAAATGATACTTTGTTGTTTTGTGATGAAATCCCCTAGAATTGATCCCTTTAACAAGGTAAAACCACTTCATTACTCAAGTGTTGCCCGAACTGTCTTCCTGGTTTCCACTTTCCAAGCAGTAACTCAGAAGATGACTTCCATACAAGCATCATCGGTGATTCACGCATAATCTACCAGACATTGGTACCTTTCCTCTTTTATCAGTACAATGAAGTAGGGGCCAGGGTTGGGGCAGACGAGGAAACTTACCGCTCCTCACCTAACAGAAACCCTGCATCTGTGATTGAAACTGTGAGAGGATCAGATGTGACAACACAATGTGGGAGAAAGCCTGGCTCTCCCTCCACAAGGCAGGCGGCCTAAATCACAACTCTTACTGCAAAAGCTTCGATACACTTTTCTTTACACTGTAGTCATGCTCAAGTTAAATCTCTTCATGCTCAGAAAAGTCAATGAGTTGACAGGCTGGCGGTGGCGAAGGTGTACTCACACTGACACTTCATGGCAACGGTAATGTCTATGTTGATTCTCAACTTGCTGAAAGAGAATAGGGCAGCCATCAGTTCCTATCAATCAGCAAAACAGCAGAAATGAAAACGAACCCACCTATGAAAAATGTGGATTTCAGACAGTAAAGCACAAGTCAGAACTTAACTTGCATTCCTTAAAATGAGAATAAGAACATTTAAAAAACTCTCTTTAGTGTAAGCCACCTGGAGTGGGTAGAGGAGCTGAACTCTGACCTCCTGCAAAAGCAATGTGAACGCTTAACCACTGAGCCAACCACCCCTCTTGCTTCCTGAAAGTTCCACTCAAGTGACTATTCAAACCTCACTTCTGTTTTTCCATATTAACAGCAACTTCACAGCCAATAATCCCAAGAAACTAAGGCTGGCCCATTTAAACTTCAGATACAACAATCCTTTAAGGAAGGACATGAAACCTGGATCAAGAAACAGGAATTCCAAGATCTTTCTTCCACTTATCATAGAAACCATGCATCATACATTATGTTGAGTGTCCTCCAATGCCGTTTCTTTATCATGGGATGGAATTACCAAGTAGATGCTCCACGTTCAAGTATTAGTGCTCAGAGTGCATATGTGCCTGGCATACATGCCCAACAGAAAAACAGCCATCCTTAGAGCCAGGCCTGACCTGGACAAAAGAGCTAACTACCAGCAAAGCATCTGCTGCTCGTGGATTTTACAGCCCTTTCTAAGACAGGCTCTCACTGTACAGTCCTGGCTGGCTTGGAACTTATTGTGTATATCAGACTGGCCTTGAACACACAGAGAATCATTTGTTTCTGCCTCCTGACTGCTGGGAGTAATGGGTATATCACCACAGCTGGCTTTACATGGCCTTTAAACAAGAAAAACTTAGTTACCTAGAAAAATCCTTGTCTACTTCATATTCATACTTCATCCAGGTATCTTGATACACTGAGAATTCCATTATTGTTAATAAAGCCATAGTGGTAAATGCTATTAGAGAAACTGAGGAATCAAAAAGAGACAAATAGAATTAAAACAGTAAGAAAAAGTTATCTTAAGCGGAATTAAAATGAGGAAAAAAGGAAAGTGTCCAACATGAATATTATTTACACAAACAGCATAAGTGATTCCCTTAAAGCGTTACAGATGTTTGAAAACAACTCAGAAATGAAAACCTAGAGCACAAACATCCCATACTGAGAAAAAAAACTGCTTGTCTTCAGTTTCAACAGTGTCTGTCACCAGACAGCCCAGGTTTGTACTGTTACACAGCAGACACACATAGGAAAACTAATAAAAATAAGCACGCTGACAACACCAATTTAAAAGTACTTCCCTCGTTATCAAGAAATACGTATGTGCTGATAATGCAACTTAAAACAAACAAACGAGATCATGAGATGCCACAATATCTGTGAGCCAGAATCAAAAGCTCTCCAAGCCCCTAAAATACTTTCATCTATTTTGCAATAACCTAAATATATTATTACATTGAACAGTGAGTAAAATCCCAGTCAAAAGAATTCACCAAATAATACCAGATCCATGGCAGGCTGTGCAACAAGAACCGGACTCCTTCTACTCAGCGTAAGGCGCAGCGAGTCACTGTATTGAACTTTATTTTGCTTACTTGGGGTTTTTGGTTTTTGGTTTTGTTCTGAGTAAGTCTCACGTAATTCAGGCTAGTCTATAATTATGTAATCAAGAATGACCTACAAGTTGAGATCCTCCTGCCTCCAGCTCCCTGGTGCTGGGATTATAACCATGAACTACCATGCCCAGTTCATGAGATGCTGGGTTCAAAACCTGGGCTCCACACGTGCTAGGCCAGCATCACTAGCTGAGTTATATGCATCCTTCATTACACATTTTTTTTTTACCCAATGACGCTGCAAAAACATATGAAATGTTACCTTATTAATTCACCACAGGGCAAAAATAATAGGAAGTACCATTATAGGTAGAGATTTTTCTTACACATTCTACCACCTACTTTAACAAATACTCTTATTTGTACCAAGTGTTGCTCTAAGCATTTACACAGGAGTTACATAATTAATACAGTAACTCCAGCAATATAAATGCTAAGATCCTCACTTCACAGGAGAACGAAGGCAGATGTAACTGAACTAGCTCTCACTCCATTCTGAGGACTTTATTATAGCAAGTCTTTACTGTCCTCCAACCCACCAACAGGAACAGGGCTGGAACAGGGTTGTGTCAGCATTACAGCATATTACAATATATAACACTGTGTATGATGTTACATGCACAGAGGCACTGCCAGACGCTACAGAGGATAAAGACAACACAAGTTCAGACTGAAGCGAGCTCACCTGTACCCCCACTGGCTGACGTCTCCACATAGCTGTCAGGGATCTTGGGAAAGGCATCTAACTCTTTCACCAAACTTAACGTTTTTTTCCGATTCAGTCGCCTCATCTTCAGAAAAACCTTCCTCGCCCTTCATATAGTCATGCTAAGGAGCAAACAGAGAAATGAACATATGGTCAATTTTCTCAGAAATCAGCATGCCCATCTCTCCTTGGCAAAAAAAAAAAACAAAACAAAACAACTGTAGTGCCCATTTTACTCTTTTCCCACTCAGTCAAAATTAGGAATGAAGGCAATATACAAACACACATTAAATAGAAAAACAATCAAAAGAAAGAGACTCACATTTTTACGTTAAAAAAGTTAAAATTTTATTTTTTATCAAGGTGATAAATTATGTATATACATGGAAAGAGAAGCTCTAAGGTGGCAACACAAGCTGTGACTAAGCTCTCGTATACTTATATTAGCAACACAGGTGCTTCTCAGTGTCCCTGGGGAGTTGATTACACAGACAGAGACTTGCGATACAGGCACATTATCGTGAATACTTTCAAATCATCTCTGCATCGCTTACCTGAGACTGGCCTGTCAATCATTCAATCTCCACTCACTGTGCATGACAGATTTTCTATGTGTGTGGAGTATACGTGTGCATATGCACATGTGCGTGCAGAACTCACTGCTAGGCATTCTCCTCAACCTCTCCACCTTCCTGAGACAAGGTCTCCTCCCACTGAACCTGGAGCTAATCAATTCAGATGGACTGGATAGCGAGCAATCCAGGACACCCTCTCATCTGTGCCCTTACTGCCAGGGTCAGAGGTGCGCATTACCACACACAGCTCCTGACCCGGGCACGAAGGATCTACTCTTCAGGCTTGTGCCATCTCCACAGGCCTCTTATTAAATGTTAAAAATGTTCCTGTCCTTAAACTCAGTCAGAGTCTAAGTACAGATTTCTGATTGCACACGGACAGCCCAACTCTTCATCTTATCCCTTCTTATCTCCTGACTGAACTGGCGCAACGTTGTTGTCTTTTGTGGTACTTAAGTCCAAGAGGAAAAACTTCATATTGTAGCTTTATCTAGAATGTATTTAAATTCAAATTCTCACACCCATGTGCGTGCACGTGTGTACATCTGTGTGTGTAAAAGAGAGGTCTTCTTCCTCATCAAACAGTCTCTTGCCTTAACCTAAGAAACTCAGCAAGCACCCAATCTCAAAATCAAAAGCTGAAAAGCCAAACTGCTTCAAAACCCACAATTTTGAAAGTGGACTTGACGCTCACTTTCCCAAGTGACTCCCTGACTTCTCACTCTCCAGTCCCAGCTACAATCCCTCAGAAGAATGTCTCCTGAAATGCTTCACCACTGGTCATCTCCCACTCTCCTGTCTTAATGATTAACAGTGCACAGCAAACTGCACAAGCCAGAAACACAGGTTACACCTTCAGACTTAACCCTTCCTAAGTCTCTATTTAGTTTCTTCCTGGGGGCAGCGAAGTCCCTTACGAGGACCTTAGTCTCATTGGCCACAACTCGCTGCTCATTTCTTCACTCACTTCCCTCATGGCCATTAATCAATTATTAACCGCCAACAGACTGCACAGTATCTTCCCACAACATAGTATTTGGACCATCCTAAAATGGCTTCAGAATCCTTCACAAATCAAGGACATCAGACACAACGCCTTACCATCCGAGTTCCAGCAGCAACGAACACCTTGCAGTACTCCTCCTGCTCCTCCTTGCCCTTTCCCCCCGTTTTCACAGGACTGACTCCACTTACTCTTCTGCGCCTCATGTACTCTAGCCACTAATTGCATGTTCTTTCTATTTTCTCCTCAGGACAGTAAAGGAAGGAGCCATGTCTAAGTTCACCTTTGCAGTGCAAGTGCCAATGCCCGGCACGGCAGGCAGGTAAGTATGGAGGGAAGGGAAGAGAAACCCAAACACCCACAGCAGCACTGACTGCAAATCCAATCTGTCACGTTGGGGTAAATGAACACTTTCACTATCCATGGGGACGATTCTGTTCACTAGAGAATCACCAGCTCTAAACAGTAGCTGGGTAAAAAAAAAATTTATTGAAAAAAAAAAAGTCACTTCCAAAACTTAAGTATATTTTCATAGTAAGCTTTATAAATAGTTTCTTTTAAATTAGACAATGGCTATACAGCAAACAGCTGTTAGTCTCACAAATACCAAGAACAAACAGAACCTATTGCATTTCCCCTCGTGAGCCTGACAGTCTCCGGCCTCCTCCGAGACTGTTTTCTAAGATTGCCATTTTAGAAGGAAGCAGGCTCCACTCCACTTCTGCCCCGTTCCTGCAAGCTCACTAATTGCTCCCAAGAAATCCATTCCATCTCCAACACGTGCCACTGGATAGCCACTGTTGTGACATGCACAAGTTAGCCAACTGCTTCAAAAAGAAAAATCAACCTGCTCTTTATGAAATCCTACTTCCTCGTGTTGTTACTTTCGAGCAATACTTCATTCCTAAGACTCTGTAAAAAGTTATGCTGTTAATCATATTTCTCATCCCACCCTAATATTAGCGGTTACGACACACAGGACTACCTTCGTGTTAGATACTCTTCAATACACTTGACACGTTAGCATACTCTTCTATACCACACATGCCACTTTCATTCCTTATACTTAAGTCATACGTTCCTTCCCAGGAAGGTGAACGTGGTACCGAGCACAACAGGGTTGAATCCCAAGCAGCCTGGCTGCAAAGTCTGCTCCAAATTCCAGTGCCCCTGCCTTCAGGACTTGTAGCCAACATCAATGGACAGCTAGGTGCATTCACAACTTCCCCGTGGGTTCTGCACCTGGACCAGTGTGTACCTGTCTCCCCCTCTCCCCATTCCACCATCACCTGGTGTGGAATGTGCACGCATGGAGGCAAAACACCCACACACAGAAATATAAAGAGGAGATACAGTAAGTAACACAGGTCTTATGAGAATTCCTTCCTGCCAGCATGATCCCATAGCTGCCTTACCCCAAAGGAACACACAGAAGCTGTATTAATTATGAAACTGTTGGCCTATGACTAGGGCTTCTTATTGGCTAGCTCTGTCTTAATTATTAACCCATAACTACTAATCTGTGTATTTCCACATGGTCTTACCTTACCAGACAACACCTCTCTTCCCAGGCTCACATGACAACTCCCCTCTGCCTACACTTCCCAGCATTCTCCTCATCCCCTAGCCCCACCTATCTTCCTGCCTGACCAATCAGTGTTCTATTCATCAACCAAGAGAAACATATGTACAGAAGACATCCCATCACACAGGTTATCCTTATTTAGTAAAATTAACACTGTAACTTTATTTCCATCTACAAACCCAGCCTTCGCTAGCATTATTCTTATATGTATTTCTGTATTGTTCCACAAAATCCAAAGTCTTGGGAATCTGTGCATGATGTTTCCGTTCACTGGTAGACAGTGTGTGTACTTTAGTGATCTAATAAATACCACAGCTGGTTTCTTTGCTGTCTCCTCTAAACTGTCTAAAACAAAGAGACAAAAAATTAAACTTCAAGGAGATGGCAATAGCAACTAAGACAATACTTGAACAACTGCTTAATAACAAAACTGTTCATGTTAAAATAGACACCAACACTCCTGAAAGAAATACACAGCCTACTTCATCATTGTATCCATTTAAATATAATGAGGATAAAATACAGAACTCAGGAAACTATACAGCCTGCTCAATTAAGCTTATTACTTATGCAAACAGAAAGAATTTATTTTGAAATGAAACTTAATGTGTAATTATGTTTATTAGGGAGGGGACCTGTGCCGTGGCAATGTGTAGATGTTAGAAAGCATCCTGCAGGATCAGTCTCCTACCGTGTGGGTCCTGGGGATGAAAAGCAAACATCAGGCTCAGGGGCAGACAAGCTATTTCATCAGCAACAAGAATTTATCTTCTATTATCAATGTTACTGAGTTACGTGCTACTTATACTGTGGGCTTCTCAATGAGAAATAGCTGAATGATTAGCATACCACTACACTGTGGAATGAACTATGTTTTCAAAGAGGCGAGCCGAGTCCTCAGCCTTGATATTTGTGAATGGAAACTGGCTTAGGTGAAATCATAATGCATTAGGGTGAACCAAATAAAAAAAAGGACTGGTGTGTTCTCAAGGCCACAGGGTGAGGGGCGAAGTAAGTCCCACACAGAGGGGAGGACGTCATGCAAAGACAGAGTGTGCACTGATGTGTTCATACGGATTGTTCAGAAGCCAGGAAAGCAAGCGCACTGTCCCAAACCTTCTGATGAAGTAGGACCCTTCCCACATCTTGGTTTCAGTCTTGAAAGATGAAAAAAGTAAATTTCCACTATTTTAAGCTTCCTAGTTTACAGGAAATAGGTTTAATCCCACAAATTTATTTCTAATAAAAAGTTCACCTGGAATACCAGTAATATGCTGTACAAGTTTTGTGATCTGAAAAACAACAACCACACAAACCAGACTATCTTCTAGGAACTTACTAGTTGTTATGACAAATTTGAAGATCGTCAAGAGCACATGAAATACACTGACAATAAAACACGGGAGCAGGGCAACAACAGAGTTAACTAAGAGTGGGCTGGGGGAGGGGGCAGTACTGACATAAACAAGCCTGCACGGAGAAACAGAAATACAAATGGGTAGCAGTTGCCCAAACAGAGGAAGACAAGTGTTCGAGGTCCCTACTAACGGTGGCCTTCGTGTTTACTCAATTTTAGGGGCCAGAAACTATTTCTAAAGGATCTCCTTCAGTCTCTCTATTGCGCCTAAGTACACGTACACACACACAGACACACACGCGCGCGAAACTTCCCAAGTCAAAACTCGACAAATGACAAGGGATCTGAAATACGTACTCCTTCCCAGCCTTTTTACGACCGTCGCTCTGGTTAACTAACTACAGTGGCTCTCTTTCTTTTCTCTGAGCCCCCTTACTTTGCCGCCGCTCTGTAACGTGCGCGTAGCACGAAGTTATTCCAGCACTCCGCAGCGTAGTGAAGCTCACTATCAAGGTAGAAAACCACCTCCTCCCGACCCCCGTCACAAGTTAAGCAAATAAAAGACAAAAATAAAAAACAAACAAACAAAAAAAAAAACCGCAGGACGTGGTACTTCTCAGGAGCTTGCTCCAACGAGCGGGGCGGCAGCAATAACTTAAACGAGGGTGGGCAGATTAGACAATAATAAAAGCCCCGCGCAAACCCGCGGGCTCGTGTCTTCGGGGTGGGGGGGGTGGGGGGGGTTCGCGTTTGCTCGGGAATCTGCGCGGCGGCGGCGGCTGCAAGAAGGGAGCCCGGGTGGGCGGGCGTGCATCGCGGCGACCAGCAGCAGCAACAACAAACAACGCAGCAGAGCCTCGCAGCAGAGCCTGCCGCGGCGGCCCGCCTTGCGTCGCCTCCGTGCACACGTGCCGCAGCTACCGGGCCCGGCCCGGGCCCACGCACGCAGTCCGTGCGCCGATGCCCACGGCAGCCGCGGGGCAGCAGGCACGGTCGGCGTGGCGTGGAGCGCGCGCGGGACACACACGCGCACCCTGCGCCGTTCGCTCGGCGGCTGCGCCCGGCCCGGCCCGGGACGCCGGAGGACGCCGGGCCGCGGTGCGCGGACGCCGGCCACGCTCGGCAGGAACGCCCCCAGCCAGGGCTCGGCTGGCCCCCCAGGCGGCGGCTGCCCCGCGCCGGGCCAGCGAGAGCCCGTCCACCGCGCCCACGCCCCACCCGGCCCACCCCGCCGCCGGGAAGTACGGAGGGAGACGGCCCCGGCGGCGTCCCCGGCACCTCACCTAGTGCTGCGGTCCCAGCCGCCCGCCATCTTTCAACGCAAGCCGCGGGCGCCCCGAGCCCGGCGTCCTCGGCAGTTATCGCGAGAACTGAGGGAGGTGACTCTCCAACCACGGCGGAGAACCGGGAGGAGGGGGGGGGAAAACGGAGCGCGAGCGGAGACCTCGCGATGTTTCCCCGCGTGACGGTGGCGCGTGACGCAATCAAGCGGCGCGGCGGGGGCGGGGCCGGGGGCGGGGCTGCGTGGACGGGGAGCGAAAGGAGCCGCGAGGCAGGCCCGCTCGTGCGTTCCGAGGAGTGGGGCGGGGAGGGAGGGAGGGAGAGAGAGAGAACTGTTTTAAAACGCTTTTCCTTTCTCATTTAATCCTGACATTGCTATTGCACAGTGATACTGAAGGACTTCTGAGGGTCTAACAATACCATTGCTTGCTTGCTTAAGAAGTAGGTAAGGGGATCTTAGTTTTACTTAGTGAATACCTTTTTCTGAGAAAGCAGATCGTTTAACCCCCCCCCCCCCAAAGCAAGCTCAGTTACATGCCCTCTGGCGGCAACTTAATTTCCAGACTTTCAAGAGTCCTCCAATTAATCGAAAGGTCCCAGCTGACTTGTTTAAGGAACCATGGTTGAATGGATGTAAGCACAGTCTCTGAAGCCAGGATCTCCTAGGTCAGAAATCCAGTCTGACATCTTAATGGCATGTGAGTTGGAGCGTATTTCATTTCTTTGTGTCTGTAAAATAGCCATAAAGGCATCAACAGACAGACATCCCTGGTCCCTTTCCCGACCCCAGGTCTCTTACTCAGATAGAGGCTGGGCTGTTGTTCACATAGTCCCACCTGACCCTTAGTCTCCAGAGTAAGTGTCTTTTCGGGTAACAACTGTCCCCTGAGAGTTAGCTTTCACAATAAAGCAAAACTAACTAATTTGATCCTATTTTTAAAAAGCCACAATTCTGAAAGCTCACGTGAGCACGAACGTTAATTTCCCCCAAAGAGTGGAACTTGTTCATCAATCAGTTTTGCTTTGTTTGGTACCTGGGATGAAACTTAGGTCCTGATACAAGTTAAGCTGCACCACTAGTGGCCACTGCCTGATATTATACGTTAATTTCCATATAACTGGTGATGTTGTATGGGGGGGGGGGGTCTGCTTTTCAGAAAACCTTTCCCATTATGTTTCATTTATTGTACACTGCTTTTAGTGTAGAGCTTGTTCAAAAGAATCCGTATCCCGTGAAAATGCTCAAATATTTTCATGGCATCTTTTTACTTCTCTGTGGTTTGGGTATGAATTTTAACAAGTAAATAACTAAGTAAGAGACACTGATTTTTTTTAAAAACTATACAAAGGCCCACATGTATCTCAAGTGGATTTTGTGTTTTATTCCTACCCAAATCTATTCCTTCTCTCGATATAGAAAAATAAACATCACCACCAGCCTCAGCTTTGATTGGAGTACAGTCTGTGTTTCCTTCCTCTCCCTGAGTGCCAATCCCAGTGGTCAGTTTGTTCATGAAACTCCTGCCCAACTTCTCGGGTGATCACCAGAGCCCCCTTTATCTTGTGCTTCACGTGTAGATGATTGCTAATTTTCTACTCAAATTTTGTGTCAAGTAACTTTTGTTTGCTCAGACAGACTTGACCTATAATCCTAGGCTGACCCTGAACTTGGAGAAGTTCTTCTGTCTCAGCCTCCCAAGTGCTGGTACTACAGGTGTGAGCCACCGTACTTAGCTGTATATATATTGTTAAATATAACCTTGAACTCCTGACCCTCCTCAGCTTGCACCTCCTGGGTGCTAGGAGTACTGCTGTCCTGTGCTTTCTTAGATCTCTTTAATATCTGTTTCTGTTTGAAGAACTTCTTTCAGCATTACTTCTAGAACAGGTCTAGGCAGACACCCTCGGCTTTGATCTGGGAATGTCATTATCTGCTCATTTTTACAGAATAGGTTGATTGGGGACCGCTGACGAGTATTTTTCTCTCCATTACCATGAAAACCTCACAACACTCCCAGCCCACATGTCTCTGCTGAGAAGTGTACTGTTAGGAGAATTTTGTCTCCCCTGCACGTTCTTTCTCATTTCTTACAGCCTTAGGGCTCTTCTGTCTTTAACCTGTAAGAGCTTGCGTGATTATAACACTGTAGGGTACACTTTGTTGACTTAAGTTGGATTAGTGACTCTTGCCTTTCCTATACCAGGATTTTCCTGCTCTCCAGGTTTGGAGACTTTCCCATCATTATTTCTGTGAATAGGCTTTCTTCTCCTCCTTCTCCTACTTCTCCTCCTCCATTTCCTTCTCCTCCTTCTTCCCATCTGCTTTTGATGCCTTCTACGAGAGTCTCGATTTCACAGAGAATGGTTTTTAACCTTGGGAACTTGTTAATTGCTTTCAGCTTGGTGAGTTCCTCTGTTAGGAGTTTCTGTTCCCCTTAAGCTCATCAAATTTTCTTCAAACAGTAATTTCAGCTTCTCACTGAGACTTCTGTGCAGGTTACTGCCTGAATCCCCTAAAAGCTCTTGGTGTAAGCTGTTTACACTAGTCTGATTTCCACTTAGCCTGCCTGTCCCCGGGGAGACTGGTTTCCTCTGAGCTTGCTGTCCACGTGTTAGCACTAGATGGCACCCAGCTGCAGATTAGCTCCGGCTCTGCTGTGAGGGTCTTGTCATTGTTTAAGATGGGAATCTAAGCCCAGGTTTATTCCAATATAGTCTTGAATGTTGTTGAGACATTGGAGGTCTAGAAACAACTTGCCTCCTGGAGATGACTCAAGATTCTCCCTGTTTCCAGGTTAGGGTTAGATGCCCCTTCCACAGGTCCTGGCCTGCAGTGAGGCTGCCGGACTCTGGGCAGCGTCACCATGGATAGACCCATCTCCAACTCCTGTGTCGTATGTAGCCACCAATTCCACACAGCTGTGTGGTACACTGAGCCCACAGCCCGACAGTTTCAGTACAACACTGCTGTAGAAACAGACTCTCGCTGCTGAGGAGGGTTTGTGGACCATGACCATTGTAAATAGACACAGGCTAAACTAGCTGGCCCAGTAGTCCAACACTCAGGCTGCCTGTCCTGCCCGGGTCTGCTGCTGCTCCAGAGGCCTTATTGGCAGGCAGATCCGGGGGTAGGGGTCTTTAGGGTCTTCCCTGTGTTGAGATTTACCACCACAGCATTAAGTTACATGGCAGAGTCTCATACTTACAACCTTGCCCCAAAACCGACGACAAATGTGTCTCACGCGATGCTGTTCTAGCCAAGGTTGGGACAGCATCACTGAAGACCCCCTTGGCTACCTATGCTAGGGCTAAGCTGGGTCATGCCTAAATCTCACTGCCACGAGTACCCGCTTAATCTTAGGGTTCACACCACAGCTGGCTGTGATGCAAGCCAAAACAAGGCTGTCTCGCTGGGACAGGGTCTACCTGACGCCAGAGAAGTTTCAAGGCCCGACAAGTAAGCACTGTCGGTAACCCTGCTACCCGAGTTGGGATACTGCCTGTGAGGGAAACTCACAATCTCTGGGACTGGTCCTGTTCCGGAAGGGAAGTGTGTGCCTCCGCTCCAAAGTTGAAAGTGATGTGGCGGAAACTCTTAATTTGTGTACCAGCACACGGGCAGACACACGGGCCTCTTCTGCCCGATGTCGGAACCAGGCTACAGGTTCCCATCTGTGAGCGCTGGCCCACACACCAGCTCCTCCTGCTCCCCGCGATGGAACCAAAGAGCATCTTGCAAAAGTTGTTAACCAACTCAGTCTGCTGGAGTTGGTAGGGACCACAGAGCTCTCCACATCCCTGGGTCTCACTGATTGCAAGTCTCAACCCAAGGGGCTGGCTGACATGGCAAATTCTTCCTACCTCCAGCCGCCTGCTCGCCTGTTTGACTAAGCGCAGGTACCGTGCACCCTTACCTGATGTCCTTAGCTGCTGTGAAGAGCTCCATGGAGAGAACTGAGTCAGCAGCCCTCCTACTCTGCCACTAACCATTAATCAACTAGAATAATTAATTAAATAATTAATTTAAAATAATTGGAAACATGCATGAGAACTGGGCAATCAGAAAGATGTCCTGAATTCTTGAACAGTGCTGCTTAATATATCCAAACCAATTTAACCCAGCAACAAAAGACAGTTTGCTTCCTAGACAAAACAGTTTTATTGTGAAGGTTTTATTGCCTGGAAATATCAGAGCTACGGTAGATTATTCTCATCCAGAAATGAAGAAAACAAAACTGCTAATGAAAGCTCCATAACTTTCAAAATTTGAATTAAAATTTTATACCTCTAAAACAAACCCGTTACAAGCACAACACAATGATTTTAGTAAAATTGTAGCTGTGTGGTCATACAGAATTTCATATATATATATAAATATATATATATATATATATATATATATATATATATTCTTCTCCAAGGTAAGTCACAGAATTCTGCCAACCAGAATGCAATCCTTCCACCAAACTTTCCCATTACTCATAAGATGCCCATTTCAGAAGGGATCCGACCCCATCCCATCTCCAGATAGAAAGAAATGCTGCATAGAAAGGCATGGTGTGTGTGTGTGTGTGTGTGTGTGTGTGTGTGTGTGTAATAACCATTTGTGAAGGAAACATTCTAAACAGGTAAAGTAGAAGGATTTAAATGAGAAGATGTAAAACGATTTGATTGAGTGGTTTGGCCAAAGAGAAAAAAAGCTAGGCAACAAAATAGAATACAGACGCAAACTTTCATTTTATAGCCGCCAAGTTGGCAAAAGGGGGTGGGCAAGTTTGGGAGCCAAGAATACAGAGAAAAAGGAGCTGTGCACACTGATGCTGGGAAGCTGTTACCAGGAACCCTGGCTGTGGGTAACCAGCCTCTGTGAATTGAAGACATCAGAGTACATAGACTCAACTGTTTCTCTGGGCATTGTTTCTGAGATGGCTGCATTTCAGTGTAAATATCTAGAGCATGTTTAAAGCCCTTATGTGATTCTTAGATGCAAACAGGATAGAGACCAATATCAGAAAAGAAAATGATTTATAGTCATGAACCACTAGACTGATTATATGTATATATATATATGATGCTGTGATTTTAAATAC